CGGCTCGCTGGCATTGCCCTCTCTGGACCAACGGGTCAAGGGGGCAGGGGGAGGGGGCGGTCGTGGCAGTGGGCCTTGTGCCGTGCTAGTCTGCAGGCCTTGCGGCTCTGCGTCAAAGCCCAATTAGTCGTAGCAAGCCATCGCACGGCAGGAGGAAGAAAGTGAGGTGACGAATTTTCCGTCCCCCTGGAACCCCCTATCTTGTACAGGTTGTACTACGTAGTAAAACCAATTGAACCTCAGGCCAACCACTTCGAGCCAATCATGGCGCGCGAAGCAAGTTGAGCATGGAGCGATCCATGACATGGATCAGGGAAGTCAGGCCAAATACAACGGCCCCCAAGAAATTGCCTCAGGGCGAGCGCGTCCAGCCAGTACGAACGAACCTGTATGCCGCCATGGGAACCCAGGGTTACCCGGCCGTGGCGGCAACCTCCGATGTACCCTGTGTCCTTGGTCGTCCGGTCTCCGCGGCTTGGAATCCGGGACCTCCAGTAATATTGAAGAGTTGCACCCAAGTTACAACAAGGTGACAATACAAGCGCATTTCAACCTGTAAATATAGAAACCCGCGCGATCAAATATTGGGCCGGTCTTAAGGGGTTTGGTTCGCGCGGGGGGAAAGGGTGGCACTGCTTAGGTGGTGGCCGCACACCCAAGACATCAAAGGTCCAATTACGGATCCGTACTTGCGCAGTAAGTGTAGTGCGGAGTTGACTTTCGGCGGAGTGTTGACAAGCGGGAACATCTCATGTGGCGGTGGCTCATAGGGCAGGAAAACTCTTGACCTGTGATGATCGATTCAGGGGCTAACTAGAACGGGTTGGTCTGGCAGATGTAGGTGCCTTCACGTCCTCCAAGATGGGAGGTATGCATTCGAGTTCACCCCCTCGTAGGGCTGAGTGTTTCGTCCTTGGCGCTTTCCACAACATGCCGCATAAAGAGCCACGGCGGGCGAGCAGGATGCAGAAATGTGAGCCAAGGACGCGTTTTGCCGACGTTATTGGGCGCATAAGCTACCTTACTCTCCGGTGCATGTGGGAGAGACGACGCGTTGACAGTTGCGTTTTCCGTAAAGGACGCGAAGCATGCGGTTGGTGGCGCCAAACAGTCGGACAAGACCCGAAACTAGGTAGATAGCGGAATGGACAGGTTGGGAGAAATAATGGACCCATCTCGAGTCAAGATGCACTACGTAGAGACTCTAGATAACTTGAGGTTGGCGCCAGTGTATTAGAAGAGACTGTTGGCTTTCGAGGCTAAAACACCCCACATGCACCACAAGACAAGACACGTCCGGGTCGCTCACCGACGGATTACGGGGCTCTCGATGTCGAGAGGGCCGCATGGCATGATGAAGCACCGGGCTGGCCGCAGCGACTGTGCTTCGCGTCGGTAAGAGAATTGCTTCGCGTCGGTAGGAGAATGAGCAGAGGAGAGTTGCAGTTACATCTACTGACCGCTGATCCAGGGATGCATACCCGTATAGTGTAGATCGGCAGCAATGTAATGAAGAGAGTGACCTTGGCATGTGCTGCAGCCCATGAAAGTGTGTCGCACCTAATGACGGCTTGTGGCAGGTCCCAGGACCATGGAAGGTTGCACCGCCTCCTGTCTCTTCCTTTTTTTAAATTTTGGCTTTTCCCCGCAGACAGGTACCCTCCCAGCGGGCCAGCATCGCCTGGATACGCTAGTGCCGCACGGGAAAGGTGGGGGTCCACTTTAGCGTAAAAAAGCCAATCACATCCTGAAGCTGGAGCCACTACGACCCTTTCGGTACACGTGTACTAATAGGGCCACGACTTGTCACACAAAGTCACTGCTGAGCCACGGCTACCTGCCTGGGGTATTCTTGGTTTCTGCCTCAAGCCTCGAGTCCAAGGCCTGATAAGGTGATGATGCCGATGACTTGTCTCTCCACCCGTCCAACGGAGCCACACGTGCAAGTCGTGTCCATTGCCGGTCCCAATTCCAGTCGCGGGAAGTTGGGAATTATTGACAGGGAGAGAATGAGGACGAGTGACGATGGAGATAACGCGAATTATGTTCCTCGTCCTGCTATTGGCTACATGTTCGCTTATCTTTGCAGTTTAAGTCGACCCAGGATCGATAGAATTTATTCATCAGCAGGGGGCCTGAGAATCTCGCGACATCGAACTCCCTGTGGAGAGTAATTTGCTTCCAGCGTCGTTTTCTCTTTCTTTTCCCGTCGTTGTTGTTGACTCTTACACAGTAATCCGTACAGCTCATGTCATACATCCTTCTGTGATTACGACCTACGCTAGGAATTGTGCAGTTATCGCCAGCCTAGCGGGGAGTTTTGTGGATCGCTCGACGTCAGGTACCCGCCAAATCACATTACTAGCAGGAAAAAGGCGCCATTTTGGCTGGTCAATTGTATGCTGTAGCTATTTGCAGGAGTTAGGTGACGAACTAGGTAGCCAACCAACAATACCTAAGCTGCTCCAGTCCAAGTGGTCTTTACTTCTGGAGTTCTTGGCGAAACAAGCTTGGCTGTTATGTATTATGTCATCAGATTGACGATCCCGGCGAGCAGTGCATGGGTCAGATGTGTTGTGAGATCGAGCGGCGGTGGAGTTGGTAACATTGATCTAATACAAACGCCCCACTTTGTCGAAATCGATCTTCGTGGGGGACAAGACATCGCGGAGCCGGAGAACAGGGCACATGGCACAGAAGGTAATTAGGACGACGACTAGGCGAGGTTTGACGGGCCCAGAATCGACTGGCTAGAATACGTTCCTTGTCCTCCATGGCGCTAATCGACGGCATCACAGGCCGGCCTGGGCCATCCAGTGCGGCAAGATGAGGTGGCATTTCTCTCGTATGAAAAAATGAATGATGCGAAATAAGGAATGACACTGACTTGACTTTGAGACGGGTTAGGTCGAGGTTGGTGGCCGACACACTGGGATGTGGAATTTCGTGGCTGACCGCCTTCTTGGCTGACGAGATTTGATGTTGCCTCGGGCAGGATACTGCCGTACTTTGTATTTACGGTTGAACGACTGCCTATCATCTAGTGTCGTGCACTCCGTATGTGCGAACACATACAGCAGACTTAGATGATCTGCATGATAGATAAAGGTCGGCCTCGGGCACTCTGGGGATCACTGGATACCTACGCAAATAATGCCCAAGAGGAGCAACCTGTAAAATTCTCATTTCCAAGCGACGAGTTTCTGAGACAGGCGACGGTACAGATGGGCGAAGCCACCATTCAATGGCACGGTACCCAAAGCGGATATTGGTAAGGCTGTGCACCTTTGCTATTTTTTGCTTTTCGGGGCAGGCACATCTCGACTCCACGGCGGGGGCAGAGGGCTCATTGGTCGAAGCTCCCAACTAACCCCTAGTGTCTGCCGTAGTGCCCTTCCAGCGAGTTGGGTTGGATGGATTGGATGGGTTGGATGGGTTGGATGGGTTGGATTGCTGCACAGCACTGGTCCTTGTGTTTGTGCCCTCGCGAGTAAAAATACATACCACGGCCACAAGGGCCAGAGCCTCCACGATATCCGTTTACGGCTGGCTTCGCGAAGCATATCGATCTTGTCGAATCGAAACACGAGGAGGCCGTCCGATGTTGGTTGTTCTGCCTTAGATCTCCCATAGTATCTCGCTGCCGCGGCACATCACTGCCGCGGTGGTGCTTTGACTGTTCCGACTAGCGTCTTGTTCCAAGACAACGGATGAATCCCCCGACGATATCGTAAAAGACAAAATGGCCCCTGCAAATTCCAGGGTAGGCAGTGACATAACAATGCAGTCCGCTGGCCTGGTCGGTGTGGCCGCATGACACCCACCGTGCGGATCCCGCTGCCTACCCTGCCTCTTGAGCTTTTGAGTGGGAGTCTAGCGTATGAGAACCAGGGAACAACAGCAAAAGCAAAGTGTGTTGAGCAAACTCGCGACCCAGACCGGATGAAGAAACGCAGTGTAGCAGACGGGAGCCTTGGAGAGGTGTCATTGGAAATATCGGAAACCTGACAGGGGTCGGCCACATAAAATGTCCAGCCCTTTCAATAGAGATGAGTCCAGACTCTCCTCGCTGTAGCCGGTGGGAGAGTCCTCGAGGTCCGCGCAGACAAATGGGGTTCTGATAGACTGATAGCGACCGTGGGTCAATTACACACAAAAACATCGCAGTGCAAGTCACGAATTTTTTTTTTCCTGGGCGCGCCCGAAGCAGGTCTCGGTCACTGTGTCCCATCGACAGGGTCCCAGTCCCTGTCCCCTGCTCGCTAGGTCTTTCTGAGGACCTCATTTTCGTGACAGGAGATGGAAGGAACCAAGGACGACCTTGTTGGGACTAACAGGGAAAGAGGGCGCCAACCAGGTACCTAGGTATCTTTTGCCTCCGCCCAGGACCAGGTCAGTGCAGCGCAGCCCAAAGTACCAAAGTCGCCAAAGTAGCGAAAGTACCCCAAGTAGCGATGTACCCTCCCGTCCCAACCCTCCCCTGCCTCCCCCTGGCCCATGCCCCCTCCACCATACCCCTGCAAATGGCCCTGCAAAGGGATGCTACGCCTCGCTCGTCCTTCTGCCCTACAAGAGATCGGCTGTGGGTGGAGCTTCATGTGTATATAGAATCCGAGGCGCCCATTCCCAAACATGTTCTTGTCTCCCGTTCTTGGAGACATCTGTTTTACATCTCGCACAACATTCAAGTCCCTTCGCCAATACTGGTAAGGGTAACAACATTCCAGGGTCCTGTCTCTCGTTCCCCCTGCCATACCCCACGATATAAGTTGAAAGGACCCTCCGAGACACACCATCGCGTTGGGAGGAAGGAAAGAAACCACCAAGCAAGGAGTCTAGAAAGCAGCAACCGAAATCCAGCAGCTCGCACATACAATATTGACGCGCTCTTTCACACCCCCAAGAGCTTCCATTTGCTACCCCAAGCTCACTCAGTTCACCATCGACGTAGAGGCTCGACAGGCAACCACGCACATTGCCAGCCACGGGAAGACCTCGCAATGAACTATCCCGACCCACCGCAGGGAGTCTACCCCTCAACCTCCATGGATATGGGAATCTCGCCAGAATCATATGGCACATACCCGCGTCCTGTACATGACACATACCCGACCTCGATGGCATACGAGGCGAACGCTCTCTACGCAGACGGCCCGTACATGTACCCCGACGACGAGATGCGCGTCCCCTCCTCAAACCTCTCCAGCGCCTCTGCATCCTCATCCAACATGGGCTCGCCGCTCTCCAACCATGGCCAGTTGGCGCCTATGCCTGACTGGGCAGCACCACAGGGCCTCAGCAGCAGCCCGGGCATCGTCGACCAGAACGACTACTTCGCCGGGACCGAGTACTCGTTCGCTCCCTGTATAGATGGGTTCAACGCTCACTTCGATTTCGCACAAGCCAAGGGGCCTGGATTTGTTGGTGAGTTGTCACAGATCCCTAGATCCAGTCTCTCTTCTCCCGCATCTTCTTCATGCACCGTCGTGCCTGAGCTTGGTCTGCCTCGGAAATCCAGCCTCGTGATGGCCTCTCCAACAACTCCGGCTTCTTCTCCACCGCTTCCAGCATGGAGTAGCCCCTGTCAAGATGGCATGAGCCCTATTGTGCGGAACCAGTCTGCCCCTCTCTTTTCTCCTTTCTTCTCTCAGTCCAGCGGGCATTTCGTCCCTCCTCTAGAATCTTCTTGTTGGTTTCCTCTTGTGTGATCTTCGGCCTTGGCTTTTGTGCATATATGACTAACCAGAATCGTCGCTTCAGATCCTTCGTTGATCCACCCCGAGATCAATCAGCCGATGACCATGCCTGGTTACGAAAACAGCTTCCACCCTCGGAATCAACCGTATCCCGCGTCACCAGCTCTCTCTCCGTCACCGCAACTCCGGACGGGCAGCACATCGCCCTTCATGAATAATGGTAATTACCCGCAGTTCGGACACAGCCCCTTCGCAGCCCCAGTCGACCCTCAAAGACGGCAAAGCCACGTTTCGTACCAGTCCAACTTCTCGGGCGAGCAGACGTACAGTGGAGACGAGTCCAAGGAGAAGCAAAGGTGTCCACATCCCGACTGTGGGAAGACCTTCAAGGACCTGAAAGCCCACATGTTGACACACCAAACGGAACGGCCCGAGAAATGCCCCATCCAGACTTGCGATTACCACATCAAGGGTTTCGCACGGAAGTATGACAAGAACCGCCATACTCTGACGCACTACAAGGGCACAATGGTGTGTGGCTTCTGCCCCGGCTCCGGCTCGGCGGCCGAGAAGTCGTTCAACAGGGCGGACGTGTTCAAGAGGCACCTGACTGCAGTGCATGGGGTCGAGCAGACCCCGCCCAACAGCCGGAAGAAGACGCCGGGCGCCAACAACGGCAAGAAGCTGACCGGTTACGCCCCCGACGCTACCGGCAAGTGCAGCACCTGCGCGGCAACCTTCTCCAATGCTCAGGACTTCTACGAGCACTTGGATGACTGTGTCCTGCGCATCGTGCAGCAGGAGGATCCCGCCGAGGCCATCAACGCCAAGCGCCTGGCCGAGGTCGAGAACGATCGGGAGGTCCATGACACACTGGAGAAGAACCAGCTCCCGGCCACGACTTTGGCCCCGAATGTCGAAGAGGACGACGATGATATGGCCGAGGAGGACGATGCTGGCGACGAGGACTTCAAACCCGAGCGGGGTGGTATCAAGACCTCGGCCACCTCGCCCACCAAGAAAGCCAAGGGCAATCCGCCCAACGGCGTGCAGAAGTCGCGGGGTCTCACTCATTCGCGTGGCGGCGTCCCGCTTTCTGGGAAGGCTCGCGGCCGCAAGAACAGGCGTGACTATCCGTCATCATGGGGCTTCGACAAGGGCCAGATGACGATGAAGAAGCGTGTCATGGCTGTCTTTGACGGCGCGCGCCGCCTTGCCAAGGATGATATGATGTTGTCGACCGACCACGAGGTCCGCGTTCCCCTCTCGGATGGCAAGTCGTACGTGACCGACCTCGATGTGCAGACCCTCAAGCGCGCCGAGGGCTTCCTCGGAGCTACCGATGAGGAGAAAGGACCGTGGATCTCGGATGACCCCTCGGAGGAAGAGTTGAAGAAGATGCTCGAGTGCAGCACCGGCGAGATTGCTATTGCCCAGCAATAGATGACGCGTCGTTCTTCGCCACTCACTCTCTCACTCTCTCACTCTCTCTCTCTCTCACTTCCACCTCCACTCTCGCATCCCCTCCACATCGACTAGCTCGGAGGCGGACGCAAACATCGATTGCAAACATCAATGCAAACAACGATGATTAAAGCAACTTAATGATCATACTGGGAAAGGTCTAAAGCAAAAGTCTGGTGTTGGGGGCATGACTCGGCGCGCGGTTTTATCCCATCTTTCGGGAAGAAGGATTTTAATGATTTATGATTTGTCAAGAGCTGGCAAGCATGGAACGGAATTTGTCTCGTACCTTTCCAATTTTTCCACCGTCTTTTCTTGCTTGGATACCTTTTACCACCCACCTGTCGCGGTGTTACGATACCCCGTTTTCTCTTCTCTTGTCACTCTTAGCCTGAATGGATATGTATACACAGACAGAAGCTTTCTTCATCGTGTCTTGAATCGCGTCAAAACTGAAAGACCATAAATACATAAATACCAATGGACTTGAATAGCGAGCCACCTTAATCTCGTTTATCGTTCGTCCCTATTGTCTCAAGACCCGCCATAGTCGTATATAATGCGTATATATATAGTCCACCGACAATTTTCATGGCTGAATTACACCCTGCGGAAGTATGGGAGGAATGGAAACCTAATGCAAATTGGGAGTATGGATGTTGTCTGTACATAGCTGGGTATAGAATAGCACCGTTATAGGAAAATGGAGTATTCATTGATGAAAAACCCAAAGCCTGGAAAGACCCTACATGCGTATCTACACCTAGGTAGGTACATACAGTAGGTACCTACCTAGGTGTGTGTAGTGGGGCCCGGTCGGCAGGGGCCGGGAACCGACTAACCCGTTTCGGAGGCGGCAGATCTTGGCAGTAAAGCTTAACCCACCAAATCCCTGTGTATAAGTACCTACCATAGTACGTAGTAACTTGGCGATCGCAAACCGGTTCTGTGACGAGACAGACGTTCTTTGAAAAATAGAACTCCTAACTTTCAGTCTTGGGAGTCCCGGTGTTGTGCCCGGTGTCAGGCTTCGTCGCCGTGGGGATCTGGAGGCTGTGGACGAGCAGCAATCTTTCTTTCTCCCTCTTCCACAGCTTGCGCCATTTTGTCCGGGATCATGGCTCTCACATCCCGAATCACCCTGACGGGCTCCCGGCCGGAGGATCCCGAGGACTACTTCTCGTCGTCCCTCGCGGTCATATTCCCGGGCGACGTCACCAACCAGCACGGCGACGCGGACCACGGCCTGCTCTACACCTCTCCGCACCTGCCCAGACCCCTGCACATCAGCCTGGTCGATCCCGTAGGTGAAGACGACCGCCAGCTCTTCAGCCACTACCTCTGGAACTCGTCCCTGCTCCTCGCCGAGATGATCGAAGCAGCCACCCTGGACCTCCTCCCCCCCTCCTCCTCCTCCTCACAGGCCGAACCCGCCCACCCCTTGTCGGCCCCCCGGTCGTCCTTCTCGGTCGCGGGCCTTTCGGTCCTGGAGCTCGGCGCGGGCACGGCGCTCCCCTCGCAGCTCTGCGCCCTCCTCGGCGCGTCCCGCGTCGTCGTCACGGATTACCCGTCCCCGCCGGTGCTGGCCAACCTGCGCGCCAACGTCGAGCGCAACGTCCGGCCCGAGAACTCGCCGCTCGGCCGCGCCGCCACGCCGCCGCCGGTGGCGGTCGTCGGGCACGGGTGGGGCGACCTGTCGGACCTGGTGGTCGGGGTAGGCGACGGCGACGGCGGGGGCGGGGGCGTCGGCGGGGGGTTCGATCGCGTCCTGGTCGCTGACTGCCTGTGGATGCCGTGGCAGCACGACGGGCTACGGCGGTCGGTTGCCGGGTTCCTGGGCCGGGGGCCGAGGGCGCGGGCGTGGGTCGTGGCGGGGCTGCATACGGGGAGGGAGGCGATGCGCGGGTTCTTTGGGGAGGAGGAGCTGCGGCTGGTGGGGCTCGAGGTGGAGTGGATCTGGGAGAGGGACTGCGACGGGCTGGAGAGGGAGTGGGCCTGGGATCGGGGGGTCGAGGACGTGATCGAGCGGAAGAGGTGGCTTGTCGTGGCTGTCTTGCGGAGGATTCCGGGAGGGGATGGGTGAAGAGAACCTGTCTCTTGTTGGGGAGGGGGGACGCGGGAAGGGGGTTGAGGGATATACATATAGACGGCTGTTCGCTGTCTGACGCATCCCGAGAGCCGGTGGCGTATTGAATCGGGGTCGGGCGGCGGCCCAGCTCGCATCCACCCTACACAGAATCTTGCTCACGCTTGCATTAACACTGGTTGGGGTGGATTCCTGTTCCAGCTTTCTCTCTCGGGGTGGCGCAAATGACACACTCTGAGTAGTGGACTCCCCAATGCCGGGACGACCTCGGCACCTCGACGCGCTGTGCAGACGCAGCTAATGAGACTATTGACGAATTTCGACGTTGGTCCAACGGCTGAAGCCTTTCAGCTTGAGCAGGGTGATGCGCGGTGATTGGATACGGGGCTGGTCCGTGGCATTAAACCCTGTCTGGGGGCATGGGTGGCCTTGGGGTTCGGAGGAACAAGGGAGCCGGCTGATACTGCGCAGTGGAGTGGGAGTCAAGGGTTGGAGTCGTTGGAGATACATATATGTATGTGTTTGGCCTTGTCGGAGACACTTGTGGGCCGGATGGGACGATGAGGGAAACTTTCCTGAAGGGCCATCTCAGGGCTGTTGCTCAGTGCGACACCCTGCATCAAACCGGCGTCAGCTTAGTTCCCGCTTTACGGATTTACATGTAGTACCTCTTCCCTAAAATTGGAAAGGCAGGAGAGCAATCTACTTGGTTATTATTGAGATTCATTATCTCGACCGACTTGTCTGTGGGTGGGCGAGACGCAGGCACTGAGCACACTCGAGGTATTGGGGGATACTCAGGAGGTTTGGAACTTCCGTTCTCAAAGGTCTCAGAGCGATAGCAAGGAAACTCATGGCCAGCTTGGCAACCTGTATACATCTTCCAACACCGAAGAGAGTAGAAGTCCATGCCTCCTTAATCGGCAGCTTCTTCCCTTGGGAGAATTTTCAGTATCTACTGTAGCAAAAATGTATTTTGCTGGGAAGTCTTGGCCATTTCAAGTCGCCTGATTAAGACTAATAACCTCTTTGATGACACGACAAGTCCAGACCCTCACAACGACTGGATAGTTATTCAGCCAGTTATAGCAGCCAAGAGTACTTGCAATAATCATTGCTTGTTGCTAACCCGGTGGCAGCACCAGCACATATGTAGTGAGACACGGATACATAGCCAGGTAGCTACAACCCCCTGGCGGTGGATCTCCCCTTAGATGAAAGCTCAGTGCTACTCTTGGTGCCGCTCTGCTGCGTCTGTCGTGGAGACGCTGCACATTTGTCATTTGGAATATGTTGAGCGCCAGATGCGTATGACTTCCTTGGGCTGCCGCTGCCTTGGTGAATTCCATGTCTCGTCTCCCCCCCTGTGCGTTCTACCCAACAAAAAGGGGTCGGTCCTCTTCGGATTACTATTCTCCTTGTCAGCAATAGCAACGTCGCCTTACATCTGGTAGTGATTGGCCGTCACTGCCTCAATATGTGGGCGACAACAGTAATAGGAGCACATCCATGCATCCTTGCTACTGATTACGACGCGTTGGACCATTTTTGACCCTGATTTGGAAAAGTCGAATGTGCTCCATCAACTCACCCGTTGACCGAGCAGTCTCTCCAGGCCGAGGTGTGCGGATGGTCAGGATATCAAATATGGAAATTACGGAGACACAGGAGGTAGGAGCAGAGGTTGAAGCCAGGAACCGAGCCAGTGTCGCCCGAAGCCAAGGCAACCCATCCGGAACGTTCTCCGCTTTCCCCTGACTGTCGAGCCAAATGGTATGCGGACTAATGGGTCAAATGCCGGGCCACTGTGTGATTCCAGCCTCCGGAAAACACAATACCGAGACATCTCGGCAGGGGTGCCTTCGACCTCTCTCCATCCCATATGTGGTACGATAATCTGTGGGCCTTGGAGAAGTCAGGTGAATGCTGACGACTGCGGGTGGCCCCCGCCCCAAGGAGCGCTACAGCAGCTAAGACTCCGAGCTAGTCTTTACTCCGGCTACCTAAGCAAGTGGCTGATCTCGATGAGAAGGGCAAGAATAACGCCATCCGTCAACGAGCCACTGTCTGCGGCTTGCTGCTACGGGGGGCCGAACTGATGCTGCGGATGGTGCTAGTGCATGCCCCGGTCATGGACTTCAAGTTTCCATGCCTATCTGAAGGCGCCTCTAGTCGTATACAGTCATATTTGACGCGTTAGGGCCCCAAGACTGCCAAGGAGCGCGGTCAGGAGGGATAATATTGGCGCCAGGCCGGGGAACACGGTGAACACAAGGAAAAATAAGAGCAAGGAATGTTCAGCTACCTAGCTGAGGTATTAGATCTGAGAGAAGGAGGAAAGACTCGCAAGCGTGAGCAGGGCACCACGCACCGGGTGGCCTTCTTCCCGTTCTTGTGTTGTTGGGAACTTGAAAGCGTTGGTTGTTGGGAACGTTCGTCCCGGCCCTATTGCCCTATCATCTGCCAAACCGAGACTCGGTAAGATATACGGGTTGTAATTTCAAATTTCCGCCCGGAACCCCTGGACAAGTCCATTCCCAAGGAACTGTCTCAGTTCGACTTTGTTATCTGATGGATCTAATCTCAGTTATCTGATCTTCAGCCCAAGGGAGCTGACTTTCGATTGGCTGCGACATCCGTTAAAGTGGAGCCAATTTGATTGATCGATTAGATAATAAGGCCCAAGACATACACAGTGCAAAGGCTATTTCTTGGCATGAGCCCGAGATCGGAGAAGTTAGGCCAACTGGCCTTGAATCCGCGGCTCACAGGCCAGAAACCCCATAGAGAGAATAGGAGCTTAAATGGCGTGACGTCCACTGACATACATTTCTGCCCGAATAATAACGCAGGGATGCACAATGGCTGCGGAGGCTGGAGATGCTGCAGAAGCCAGCTATGATCCATTGGGTTGCATTGATTGCGTTGGGTTTGGATGCGGATGGCGATGGCTGAATAACTGTGGCATTCGGTTCTCGGGCTGCCGCAATGTGGGACCCGACCTGGAGAAGGTACCCATTTGGAGGGGAAAATACACTAAAAGTTGTGACTAAGGTACGCTAACTAGCATCTCCTGATCCCGGCAAATAATTTTCTTCTGGAAGTCGGAGTGGCACGTGAATCACGCCACAAGAAATTGGCCTGGTGTGAGGTTTACGGGAGAACTCTCAGGGGGAAGGATAGGGTGCAGGACTTCCGCGGAACGTATTCAAGATGGTAAGCCATCATAAGGCACGGCTGCTAGATGAGGTAATTAATTGATGATAGTGCTACTGATTTGTTGCCACGCGCTGTTTTCGGGAAAAAGTGTTGAACTAGGTTCCAAGGCGGCCTGTTTCGGCTACGGTCCAGGGAATTGATTGACCCGCACTGTGCAACATTTACCGTGCATATCCATATTGAAGGTACCTACTTGCACGGGGGCAAGTTGCCCCAAAAAGGCAGCCTCTCCCTCCCTCCTCGAAAGCAGCTGGTTTTCACTCAACCTACTAGAAGCATTACCAACATATTCTCTCTCTCTCTGAGGAATAAGCTGTCTAGGGACAGTCACATTGCACGCGCAGGTCCTCAACTCAGCAGCCAGTGCCTATACCCTGGCCTTCAGTACTTTTTATTCCCGCCTCTTCAGACATACAAAAACCCGGTCATGCATCTTTTGCGCTGACATTCGCCCCCATCTACTCATACCGTCGCGTCGCCACTTTACCCGCCCCTTTCACCGCACCTACACTCCAGTGAGCGACAAAACCCACCAGAATTCGAAGGCGATGGCAACTCAGGTTGAAAGGCTGCTGGCCGACCGCACGGCGAACAGCATACCGGAGGAACCCCACGCGTCCCCGTCGGCTGCCCCGTCGCTCACTTATTCGGAGTCTGCCGACGAGCAAGAAATTGAGGAACCCCGCCAAGCCGAACTTACACGTCGCCGACGCGCCTCGACAGTCCTAATTGCCCGGAGCCCTGCTGATATCCAACGCATTACCGGCGAGACAACAAGCCAATTGATTAGGCGGTGCTGCGGAGGAGGCTGCTGTCTTGACGGCGGGGCCCGAAGAGAAGGCGTCGAGTACGAAGGCATTGATCTTCCCGACAATGACGCATTCCGATCCCTGTTCCTCAAGATTGACGCAATCCCTGTTGCGCTTACCAACGTCACCGACCTGCCCGAGCAAACCGTTTTTCTACAACCCCTTCGACGGCCCTCGACCATACCATCCCCCACTGACTCGGCAATTTCTCTTGGCGATGATTCCGGCAATGATACCAAAAGCCCCACCCAAACTGCGGAGCTAGAGAAGAAGGGTCTCCCAACCCTGGGTTTGGAAGACCTCGACACCAAGATCCAGCCTCCATCTTTCGTGCAACCGCATCCTCCCCACCACGTCTTCCCGGCGCGCATCCATAACACACGGGAATTAACGCGACCTGGCGCGGAGAAGCGAACCTTCCACTTCGATCTCGACGTCACGGACTATCCAGAAGGCGAGGGCATAGATTTCAAGGTCGGCGGTGCCATTGGCGTGTCTGCTCCTAACGATGCTGCGGCCGTTGATGAGATCCTCGATCTCCTCATGGTTCCTCGCTTCATCCGGAACAAGCCCGTCCTTCTTGAGACCACCAAGGGGCGCTGGCCAACCGTATGGGGCGAGGACCAGGCTCGCGAGCTAGTGACTACGCGCCGGGACTTGCTTACTTGGTGTTCCGATATCCAGTCGTACCCGCCTACAAAGCAGCTCCTTCGCGTCCTTGCAGAGCACGCAACGAATGAAATTGAACAGAGGGTACTCCTCTTCCTCTGCGCAGGCGAGGGCCAGGGTATCTTCTGCGATTTCCGAACCGGCCCACATATCTCGCTCGCGCAACTTCTACACGCATTCCCTAGCGCCAAACCTCCTCTGGATCTCGTCCTCTCGGTTCTGCAGCCTATCATGCCACGCTTTTACTCGCTCTCCAATGACCCTCATGAGTCTTTCGAGACGCGGGACGGCAAGCAGCACCGCCTGATTGAGCTAGCCGTCACCGTCCATGACACGAATGATTGGCGATCAGGCACCCGTATGGGCCTTGGCTCTGGTTTCTTCCAGCGACAAGCCTTGAGGTTCCTCGAAGCTCGAGAGAAGGGCGAGAAGAATCCCGACTTTTATATTCCTATGTTCAAGGGCCTGATGTCCAATCCGCTTGCCAAGGAGTTCGTCTCCGACGGCCCTATGCTCCTGATCGGTGCCGGCGTCGGCATTGCTCCGTTCCGAGGGTTTGTCCAGAGGCGACTCAAGACGGCCAACTGCGCCAACAAGGTCTGGGTCCTCCAGGGAGTTCGCGACTCGCTCGTCGACGAGCTGTACAGCGGCGAATGGGGTGTTCACGAGGACGAGGTCAAGAGGGTCGTGGAGAGCCGCCGCGGCGAGGGCCGCTACGTGCAGGAGGAGGTCAAGAACCAGACCGACCTTGTCTGGTACATCATCAACTCGGTCGACGGCCGAGTGTTCGTCTGCGGTAGCACCAAGGGCATGGGCGAGGGTGTCGAAAAGGCCCTCATCGAAGTCGCCATGGAGAAGGGCAACCTTGGGCGCGAGGAGGCCGCGAGGTTCTGGGAGTTGAAGAAGGAAGCCGGCCAGTACATCGCAGAGACCTGGTGATTGATCCCACAGGTCCTGGAGCTGTTCGACCGGAGGAAGGGACAGTTAATTTCATTGAGGTTGCTTCTACTTCTGTTGCATATGCCATGGTGGCAACGCTCTGGCAGGCTTTGATAAAAAGCGTTTTTCTCTTATTGGGCTCATGGGCATTTGAAGATAGGAACAAAACTAGATATGGCGTCGGCGTCAGCATGGGGTCGAATTTGGGATCTAGCAATCGCGGGATCGCGAGCGTGGTATCATCTGGACAGGGATAGAGCAAGAAGACATCACGAAGACTGGCAGACTCGGGAAGGTTATTTCTCTCGCGATGTAGTTTTATTCTCACTGTAGTTTACACACTGCCATGATCAGTTCATGTCGCACTTTTCCCTCATATTCCCGCGATGTTTCCCCTGATGTTTCCCCTGCAAGGGTTCCAGATAAGAGAGTCTCTATAAGGATCCCAAGAGAGCCAAAGTGATAGCCTCTCCTGGGTCCAGTCTGTCGTAGACCGAGCGGCGGTCGGGCCTTGGAAAGGTTGTGCCGGGTCCATTGTACCTTATTGTGGCTACGGAATTAAGAACCTTCTACCGAATTCCATGGGACTCTTGGTGTGCATGTCATCATGGGCAGGCCCGTGCAGTCTCCTATTATGGCTTGCTGCCACTTGTCTGATTGGCCTGCGGAGGATTGCTTCATCGCTGCACAATCAATTAGTGTTCTGACAGGAACGTGGCAGCCACCCGGGATTTACACTACTGTGGTAGACAACCACTCTGGTTGCCACATGCTTCACTTTCGATTTCTGATACTAAGATACTATAGAACTATGGCCACCGCTGTATCAACGTGTATCAAATGGCAGGAACCCAACCTTCTTGTCCTGACTAGGTCCTGACTCCTGACTCCTGACTCCTGACTCCTGACTCCTGACTCGGAAGACTACCTAGACCAGCTGGTGGACATGATATTCCATCTACCAAACGAGCCAACTTACCTAATGTCCCATACCGACTGTGTCTCCCTAAGTGTACACCAGGATCAAGGCACGCCATAGCTCCACTCACAACCGGGATCACTCGGCTTTACCAAGCTAATTCCACGCGCGATCTTTCCAAGATCTTATACAACGTAAGCATTTGTCACCCTAACCGTCGCATTGGATCCAAAAAGGTACAGGGTCCATTTCGGCTTCAAAGTCGGAGATATAAACCACTCACCGTTCCCACTGCGCTTTTGATATAATCCTTCCTCCATCCACAGCATTGAATGTACTTGTTAAGCAGGAGCATCACCCGAGCAATCCCATCTTTGCGAACTATCTCGAGACAGAAAATACCCATCTCTGCCCTGAGTACCTCGCGCCAAGTTCCTACACGATCTTTCTCAAGAACAGCCAAAATGTCGAACCAGGCCGCCCCCCTCTTGGAGCTCGTCAAGGCTCGGCGAACCTACTATGCCCTCAACAAGGAGCTTACCATCAGCACCGACCGCATTCAGGAGATCATCAAAGAGGGTCTCCTCCACGTCCCAAGCAGCTTCAACTCCCAGAGCAACCGAGTCGTTGTCCTGTTTGGTGCTGAGCATGAGAAGTTCTGGGACATCACCACCGACGTCTTGAAGACCGTCGTCCCTCCTGAGAACTGGGAACCCACTGGGGCTAAGATGGCCATGTTCAGGGCTGCCGCTGGAAGTGTAAGTTGCATTACCACATCCATTTCCTGCATACACCCCGGCACGTCTCTGCCAACGAACAATTTGCTGACATGTCGAACCAACAGGTACTCTTCTTCGAAGACCAAGAGGTTGTCGAGGGCATGCAGGCCAAGTTCGCCCTCTATGCCGACAAGTTCCCCATCTTCGCCACGCAGTCCGACGCGATGCTCCAGTACACTCTCTGGACGGCGTTCGAGGCTGAGGGTCTCGGCGCCAACCTGCAGCACTACAACCCCCTCGTCGACGGCAAGGTCGCCCAGGAGTGGAAGTTGCCTTCCAGCTGGAGACTGAATGCCCAGCTCGTGTTTGGCGGGCGGGCGGCCGAGCCCGGCGAGAAGACCTTCATGCCGATCGAGGACAGGTTCAAGGCCTTCGGCGCCTAGAAGATTGGGTCTGAGTCGTCTAGCAAGAACTGTTCATTTCTTCTATTGAGCGAGAGCGATAGATAGATAGATAGATAGACACGCTGGTCCTTGTTTCTGTAGATATCTGCATTGCTTGGAGTTTCGAGGCTGTTTCGAAGACTAACGCACGTGAAAGATACACTCTATCTGGAGCGAATGAAGCGTTTGAAAGCATTTGATTTGTCCCTCGTGCATGGATGTCCGACCCCCTCGTGGAGTTGTTGCTGACCCCTCTCTTCCCCCCCTGCGCCGGCGGAAAAAAAATTGAAACAAGGGTCTTTCTTTCAGCCACATCTAGCGATCTAGCCACGTCTCTCTGATGTGTGACTCGACTACCCCGCCAAATGGTGGTTCGCAAAACACAACAACTTCAAAACTGGGCTCTGATCCAACCCCACTTCGTCACTCAAAAGATCATGGCTGCTGAGAACGAAGCAGGTCAGAACGCAGTGGCCCAGCCCGCCGCGGCCGAATCGGCCAATCCTCAGCGGGAGCAAGACATCAATCCCTGGTCCGTCGAGGGCGCACAGGGCGAGAATGGCGAAATCATTCCCATTGACTACGATGCCATTTGCCGGTATGTGTTGGCTTTCTGGCTCTCCTTGAGGCCGACCTTCTCGCCCATGCTGACAACCCAGATAGGAAATGGAATACCCAAACTGTCGACCAGAAGCTCCTCGAGCGCTTCGAGCAGGTGACGGGACACAAGCCTCATCGCTGGCTCCGGCGCGGCCTATTCTTCAGCCACCGCGACTTCGACAAGATCCTAGATAAATACGAGCAAGGCAAGCCCTTCTTTCTCTACACCGGTAGAGGTCCGAGTACGGGAAGCTTGCATCTAGGCCATACCATACCGTTGCAGTTCACAAAGTGGCTGCAAGATGTCTTTGACGTCCCGCTGGTTTTCATGCTTACGGACGACGAGAAGGCGCTTTTCAAGGATAGCGCTACCTTCGAAGAGACGCTGGAATATGCTATGGAAAATGCGCGAGATATCATCGCCCTGGGCTTCGACGTTAAGAAGACGTTCGTCTATAGCGATCTGAAGTACCTTGGGAACCACTTCCTGATGAATGCCTGGGAGTTCTCAAAATTGGTGACCTTCAACCAGGTTCGTGGCGCATTCGGATTCAACGAAAGGTATGCGCTCAGCTTCCCATGTCTCCAGAGACCTCCCTCGTTCTTGGGCTATGGCTAATGATGTGGAAGCTCCAACATCGGGCGCATCTTCTTCCCGTCTGTCCAGTGCGTGGCCGCGTTTGCGACTTCATACCCGGAGCTCTGGACAGATGAGCCGCTCACTGCTCGGACCAAAGAGATCGCAAGCATTCCTTGCTTGATCCCCATGGGGATTGACCAAGACCCTTACTTTCGCCTTCTCCGGGACAATGCCCACAGGATGCGCTATCCATCGCCAAAGCCGGCCTTGATCCACTCGAAATTCCTTACTGCCCTACAGGGAGCCGGCGGCAAGATGTCATCGTCGAACCCGAACTCGGCCATCTTCATGTCTGATACGCCAAAGCAGATCAAGGTACAGTCACTCAAACTTTCTTGTTGAGCGATAGGTACTTACGTGCCTCATAGAACAAAATCAACAAGCATGCGTTTAGCGGCGGCGGGGCTACGCTCGAGGAACACCGTAGTCGCGGAGGAAACCCCGACGTTGACGTCGCGTACACCTACCTGACGTATTTCGAGGACGACGACGCAAAGCTCGCAGAGGTCTATAAGAACTACAAGAGCGGCGAGCTTATGACAGGGGAGCTCAAAAAGATGGCCATTGAGCTCCTGCAAGAGTACGTGCTGCAGTTCCAGGAGCAGCGGAAGCTCGTCACGGACGAGGTTCTGGACCAGTACATGAAGCCGCGGAAGCTGCAGTGGGCAGGAAACAAAAACCCAAAGCCCAAGGCCGCGGCGGAGAGCAAGGAGTGTAGTGTGCAGCTCGGATGACGATGACGGGGGAGCGGATCCATCGGCTCATTACTTTCCCGAGTCTTCCTAGTTGCGAGTAACTCTCCAGCTCTGACCGGACACTTCCAATTGAACGAAGTCAGAGCTGGCTTACTATCGGATCTCTCTTGGCCGACAAGTGACTGCTGCTCCGCTGCGTTGCATACTTCTTAGAGAATAGACCTTTAGGACTTCAGTATGTGAGGGAGCTTATTCGGCGTCCAGCGTTTTAAGATGAGCAGGGTGCCATTAACTCGTCATATCCGCCTCATATCGGATTATTGTTACGGTTGACAAGGATTGCTTTTACTTCCAAGAGAAATGTGAAAGTGATGCATTCTACCCAGTTATTCAGGGATGACCAGGTTGTTCGCCGTGGTGTAGGTGCCCGGTCAGTTGTCATCCTCATGGATCTACAACGGGGGCGAGGAATAAGACAGAGGAGAAGAAAGTCAAATAGGGGCGGCCGCTTGATTGGGGCCCTCTAATAAACTCGTTTGTGATACATGTTCCCCCTCCCCCGCGTTGTAATTGAAAGAGGCAGGTGAGTGACAGGTGGATAAACCCCGCGGATATTAATATGTAGGTCCTCGAGACTCTGCGAGAAATGGGGATCTCAATTTAACTATAGATACAACTCATACGCCGCCCCCGCATCCAATAAAGTGGAAATGCACCTCTTCTTACCTTCGAGCTGTCGTCGGGCAAGATGATGCTCCCATTGAGCCTCTGGTTGCTGGCAGTCTCTGGAGTCAAGGGCCAGCAAACGGGCAATCATCCTGAATGGAACCGATGGTGTGGAAAAGTGTACGAAGCCGGGTAAGTGCCGTCATCCCCATGGCCGGGAGCCGGTAGATCACGAGGGTTCCGCGACTAATGCCCTCCCAGATACCCGGCGTTCGACCCCGGCGGCCAGACTCTGCCACCTACTCCCGTCCCGGGGCCGCCTCTGCTGGACGTGCAGTTCAAGCCGCGGTACAGCCTCTACTTGGACAGCGAGGAGACAGGCGAGTTCGTCGTGAACGCGCCCCTGACCCAGTTCTTTGGGAAGCCGTGGCCGAACTCGACGGCAGAGCAGTTCGTCTTCTCCATTAATCTCGTCTCGAACAACGAACCTCTTGTCGAGAACCGAATTGCGGTAAACTCGACGGGCAATGTCTTTGGCTTTGACTTGTCGCGCCTGACGGCCAGTCTCAATCCTATCGAGGTGGTCCTGTACGGCGCCCCTGAGGGGGGCGACCCGACGTGGACGGCGACGAGCGAGCTGTTCTACCTCCCCGAAAAGGCCGGCGGCAGCGTCACCAAGCTGGACAACCTGAATGGGGGCATACTCTTCCGGAACGGGGCGTCCAACAACACGTTCGAGCCCCTGCTCGCCTACGGCTTCTACTCGTCATACGACGGCTTCCTGCGCAACGTCTCGCAGAACGACACGTCGGCGCTGCGGCATTACGCCGACCTGGGCCTCAACGCTATAACGCCGCTGACCAACTATGCCGACTCGCCCGTCGTGTTCGACGTCCTGGATCAGATGGACCTGAAGTTCATGTTCGATATGCGCGAGTTCTACAAGAACCTGACCATGGTCCAGGAGCAAGTCATCCGAGCGAGGGACGCAGATGCGATATTCGCATACTGGACAGCGGACGAGTGAGCCATCCCAGCAGACCAATTCTCTCTCTCTATAAAAGGAAATAAAAGTTCGGGGAGTGAAGACTAACATGCATGACCTCCCTCCCCCCTTTCCCAGACCCGACGGCTGGCAAGACCCCTTCTCCGCCCCCATCCTCGCCTACGACCTCGTCCGGCGCCTCGACCCGTACCACCCCGTAGCCGTCGTCCTCAACTGCCAGGACTACTACTTCGGCAACTACTCCTCGGGCGCCGACATGCTCATGTCCGACGTCTACCCGATCGGCATCAACGCGACCTTCTCCAAGTGGGGCACGGCCTGCAACGCCACCCTCGGCGACTGCGGCTGCGACGGCTGCGCCGGCAACCCGCAGGACGTGTCCCGCCGCCTCGACGGCATGGCCGCCCGCGAGCGCGCCCTGAACCTCTGGGCCAAGACGAAAGTCCACAGCCCCCAGAGCTTCCACGGCGAGGACTATTGGCTCCGCGACCCCAGCCCCGCAGAGGAGCGCGCCATGGCCGTGCTGGCTCTCAACCACGGCGCCCAGGCCGTCGTCTCGTGGGTCTACCCGGCCAGCGACGTCCTCGCCGCCGCCCACGGCGCCCTGGCGGCCGTCCTCGCCGCCCAGCCGGTCGTCGGGTTCCTGGTCGGCGGGGCGAGGCCTGTCCCCGTGGCGGTGGACGCCGACGTGGACGTCGTGGACGCGGCGTACTGGGTTGTCGGTCGGCGGGCGCTGGTCTCCGTCGTCAACGGCGGGTACGTTGACGTCGACGGCCCCGTCGTCGTGCCCGTGCCCGGCGCGGTCCGCGTCGCGAGCATCCCCTGGTCGGCTGACGGGGAGGTGGCCTGGGAGGTGGTCGGCGAGAGGCTCTCGGCGCCGCGGCTGCCCGCGCTGTCTACGAGCTTGCTGATTCTGGATTTGGATGGGGAGTGAAGGGGCTGGTCTGGCTGGGTAGCATCGTGTTCGGCGGAGCATGCTGTTTGGACTGCTATTCGGCGTGTGTGTAGATAGTTGGCGAAGCCCATGCGTTTTAATATCTGGAAGCAGAAAAGGAGGTGTGTTGAGAGGCTCTCGGAGGTAGTCGGGGTCGAGCTGCTCAGGGGAAGTTGCCGAAGCACCTCGAAGCGAAGTTCTGCGTGCTAGAGAATCAGTAACACCAGATCTGCCTTATACGGCTCTTCCTGCCAACTCTGCCTCACTATCGGCCTCCTTTAAGCAGCGAGTATTTGGAGAGACAAGGCTCTGCATCTTTGGAGGTGCATGTATGTCCCCGGGACTCGATTGGCTCGTAGATGGAGCAAGGTCTGTGCGGTAGTGAGGTCATTGTAGAGAATAAGTAAGTAGGGGAAGCATAGGGAAGTGAAATTCGGTACAGTCCCTATGGTTTACAGGCGAGGTCTATCCGGGGATGGCGTGGAACATGACGAGAGCGGGAAACCAGCCCAAGTGAACCAAGAAGTGATCTCCAGGTGACCAGGATTCGAATGGGGATACCTAGAAACGAAAGTGGGATTATTGACAGGATAATGGACTCATATGTGACAGGTAGTTCACGGCCAACTATACATATAGTATATGAAAATAGAAGCCCTTAGGTAGTCGCAGCTTGTCCAAACTGCGCAGCCAAAAAAAAACAAAAAAAAACGATTTACTGTTGCCAAACAACGTAACTATCAAGGTGCATATACATCCGTAAAGCGCGGTTCAACAAAACCCGCAAGTTCACTAGAGATGGAGGGTGGGGACCAAATATCATTTAGTGGTACAGACCGCCTCTGCCACTTTATGGCTTCCGATCGTCTAGATCATGAACCTCTTCTTCCCCTCAACTAGACCTTCAGCGTACTTGGTGATACCGGCCCACGCCGGAGAATACTGTAGCGCCTCGTCGAGAGCCGGGATGACGCCCTGGACATTGGCATCGCTCCATTGGCAACTGACGAAGCCCTCCAGGCCGGACGTCCTGGCCCTCAGCTCGCCGTCGGACCAAACAGAGTCTTCCTGTGCGCCGTCTTCGACAAGGTCCGATCCGGACGCGGCAGCGCTATCGTCCTCGTCGGGCCAGCTCACATCCACCTCCCACCTCCTCTTCGGGTCTCTCCGCCACAGCTTTAGCTGGCCCACCCCCTGGTTGGGGAAGGGACCAAACCGGTCATCCCAGCCGGAACCGCCGACGACGTTGAACGCGCTGACGGGCCTCTTGAAGTGGAGGAAGCACGCCTTGGTGTCCACGGCGTCGATCTGGAAATGGGCCTTGTTGCCGTCTCCTCGGGTGACGTTGATGGAGACCAGGTCGGCGTACCTCTTCTGGGGCGGGATGCCGTCTGGTAGGCTCTTGTCAAGATTTGGTGGGACCGCAGACCCGTCGTAGGAGCATTGCGCGATGCCCTGTTTTGTTGACGGACCGCACGAGACTTCCCTGCCGGCGGACGATGGTAGTTCCGGGATGATGAGGCGGACATATTCCTCAACGCCATTGAAGTGGTTGGTAGTTTCGCCCGTGTCAAGGTCAATGGTCTGTTGGAAGGAGATCTTGACCCTGTTGTTGGCAGAGAAGGGGAAGGCAGCAAGATTATATATCAATGTGCCGGTGAAGACAGCAAGCAGGAAGACCGGGAGATGGTGTGGAACGCGGTGTATGAAGGGAGTTATCGGAAGGAGAAGTAGGATTGTGGACAGGGCAATGACGAGATAAGGCAGGAGGGTGTTGGAGCCGTCCGTCCCGGTTTGGTTGACAGCGTCGGTGAAAGTAAGACCGATCTGCGCAGCAAGGATGATGATGAACGGCCCCACGATAAGAAATTGCAACATCCAAGTCCACGATGGTAGACTGCCAGACCATGACTGCTCGCCTTCATACGGCTTTTGGTCACTGTCATCCGTCGGGTGGGCCACGTCCGCAATTGCGGATATCGAGCGTCGGTAAGTGGTAGCGAAGGTCGTCCGTAAGTTCTCCCCCCGGCCCCCGCCGACGAGTGGCGTTGTCTCATTGGCAGCTTCTGGCTCCTCATCGTCTTCCCCGTCTCGGTCTACCGGCGACGGAATCTCTCCCGGTGTAGGCGCCATGAGATCGTCCGGGCGGTGACCGGATAAGAGACTTTCCCTGGCATCGCGATCGTCCCGGACCTGCTGGGCCCAAGTAGTTCTCTTCGGCAGAGCAAACAGCTCGGCCAACGTGATTGTTGTCGAGAGAAAGACGGCGGATTGCAAGAAGACGAAAAAGTATCCAGAGCTGATTTTGAACCTGTCCTCAAAAACGGTAACTGCGACAAGTATAGCCCAGCCAATGAGGAAAAGCCAGATATGTGCATAGCCCCTATGGAGAGCGCTGGGCCGGACAAAGCTGGCGCCTCTCATGATGAGCCAGAAGGCAAAGTAGAACAGGGAGATCATCATCGCCCACCTTGGGAAAAGTTAGCCGCGCAGTAGAAATTGACTTGGGATAAAAAGGGGGGGCTTACACAGAATATTGGCTGCTGTAAATAATCAACGGGTTGATCTTGCGCAACAGGAAAGCAGCACCCAAAGTCAAGGCCACGGCGAATATCAGGGCAAGTGGGAAGCGGAAGAAACCCCTCAGTCCCCCGGCCGACACTGGCTCAGAGTCGGGATTGTCGTCGGTCTTAACTTTGGTTGTGAAGAAGTAATACTTGTCAGCCTTGACGAGGAAATACGTCAAGAGGACAAGAGCCAACGGAGTGACAATCAGGATCGTAAGAGACCAGGCGAACATTCCTCGCAAGTTGAACAAGACGAAGCCTTTGCCGAAGAGGTCGAACCAAACCCCATCGCTGGGGCGGCCATTCTGGACCTTACCGCGATCGCCATCACGTCTCGGGCCCACGAACGTGTTGCCGGTGTCGCCGGAGAGGTTAACCATAGTATGGATGGCAGCAGACAGCATGTGCCACAGACTGGCCTGGGAAGTGTGCCTAGCATCATCTTGGTTGGTGTGATACCGGGCTCGGGGCTTGAAGAAGGCCAGGTCCAGGCCTCGCTGGCCAAAAATGCCGTTCAAGACGACATAATCCGTCTGGCTTCGAATGAATCCGAGGCTGAAGGAGTCGGAGCCAATGACGTTTCCAAATGGGTTGTTGGTCTTGGCGTATGCCGCGGTGACTTCTTGGTCGCTTGTCCGGAAGAGGATGGCTCTTCCCCCGGCACCAGCGCCCTCAAGGTTCAAAAACGTGTGGACGAAGGGCAGGAGCGGGCTCTGCCCAAACGCTCGAGCTCCGTAAAGGAAATCCTCCTCGCCGTTATTAAGGAGGGCCACAATGCCTTTTTTGGGTTGGTGTCCGGGAGTCGTGAAGTATTTGATTATTTGCAAGACCGAAACGACACCCACTCCATTGTCCGTGGCGCCGTATCCGGTCGAGACACTGGAGCCGTATTAATATAAATGCAAGGGGTGACAAGACATGCGATTGCGACCTACGAGTCATAGTGGGCATTGACCAACGTCACCCCTTTGCTGTGTGCCCCCTCTCCTGCGCCGTTTCCGGATTCCCACCATCTCCCCTCGTCGTCGTCGGTCCCCCGAATGTATACCAGAATGTTCGTCCCTTCGAAGTAGGCTGCCGGCTCTCCAGAACTCCCATTTGGGGCTTTGCTACCAAGTTGACCTGAAGACATTGCACCGCTGTAGTTCGAGGCCATATCGTTGAAAACGGTAACGCCGTAACTGGATTCGAGATTCTCTAGGGTGCTGGGTTCCTGCCGAGAACTGTGAGAGTTAGACGGGTTCGTTCAGGATGTCTCGCAGACCTACCTGAGAGGTTCTCCAGAGAGGTCCGATGCCCACGATACGCCATTCTGATCCAGGATCTCTTGTATTCTCAATAAAAGCCAGTCGCGAACTTCCTCGTTCTTCCGGCTATTGTAGGGGTGGTAACCTTGGGTCAGAGTAGTGAGGTCAAGCCAAGCTTCGGTGAGGTTGAGTCCAGCTGCTGGAATCTCGCCTGGTGGTGAAGGTACGGATTCATTGATTATTACTAGGGGTATCAACAGAGCAAGGTAAACAAGAGTTGTCCAGAACACAACCGGACCCGGTCGGAACGAGATGGGATTCAGCATGCTGGGCGGCGATGTGGGCTGGTAAATAGAGGGAATGCGGCCGAGGAAGGATGAAGTTCAAGGGCCCTTCCTTACAGGAGAGAGCCTGCACACGCGCCAGGACTGCTAAAAGCAGACAATATTACGCGGGACGGTATTACACGGGCATTGAAGGATAGCAGAAGCGACGCTCTAGAAAAGCTATGCTTGCCAACCAGAGAGAGGCTGCTGTCTGATGTCGTCAGTTCGGATTGCGCGGGGCAGAATCGGCGACAATTAGTGGTCCAAGCTCCTGCACGGACACTAGAGGGTGGAGTAAGCCGGTACCTGGTGCCGTGGCCTCGATAGCGTCGTCTGTGGAATAATCCCTGCAACATGAGCTGCAACGTACTTGGTGGTTTCCGATCCTCGGATTGCGAGTGGGAACCCCAGGTCTGCCTCCTCACACAATGCCCGGCCTTTCCTCCTCACGATGGGCACCCAAGCTCGGGACAAGTACCTACTATAGCTCCATCTCCGACCGCCCGCCGCGTCTCAGCACCACCAGCTCAACAGCAGCTCCAGCTTCAACGACGAACCCCCAATCCGCCAGCAACAGCAACAATGCGACACAGGCGGGCACCCCCAACTCGCGGTCCTCGCTTGACGAGCTCGCCCGCTACACCAAGATCGTCCGCCGGCTGAAGTGGAAGCTGCCCCACCTGGCATCGGGCTACCAAAAGTCCGTCAACAGGGTGGGCTGCGACCCCGCCGAGGTGGCCGAGGCCGAGCTGATGTTCAAACTCGACTTCTTCGAGTACTACATGCTCCTGGAGCGGGCGCTGGTCCACCTGCTCGGCGTCTTCGCCATCAACGTCTCCCCGTCCCCGCGGCTGGCAAACTCGAGGTGGAACGACGGGAACGGACCGGCCAACAACAATCCAGACCAACAACAACAACAACAACAACAACCGGGCGGAAACATTGGCCCCGCCACCAGGCCGCAGAGGTACCAGCACCGCTACCACGCCAAGGTCCTCGAGGCCCTCGAAGACCCGGCCAACCCGCTGCGCTCGGCCCTGGGCACCGGCGAGGCGCGGCGGCAGCTCGGGCGAGCCAAGGACCTGAGGAACAGGTGGAAGGACGCCGACGGGGGCGACGGCAATGGTGCCGCCGGGGGAAACGGCAAGATGCCCGCCCCGCTGGAGAGCTACGACATTGAGCGGATCCTGACGGCCATCTTCGACGGCTTCGACCAGGCGTTCGTCATTGCCGAGCGGTTCGTGCGGGGAGGCGGTGGCGGCGGCGGCGTCGTCGTCGATGGGGATATGGACATGTATGATGGCGACTGGACCGTCACGGAAGAGGAGCAGTGGGAGTTCATGGTCGAGGCTATGGACTGGGAGGCGGTCTGATGGCGCCTGCTCGAGTCCCTGGAAACACCAGATCATATCGATCCTCGCGTTTGTGCGAGTTGTGTGTGTGTGTGTGTGAGGATTATTTTCAATGCCGTTCATCGCGTTGCGAAAGTCGGCATTGGATACTGTTTTAAACTACCGTGTTGGGCAGGCAAAGTAAGGCAGGCCTGCGGCGGATTGCCAATGGTGGCCGTGAGCAAAGGTGTGCTCTCACCGCGATGAGGGTGAGATATACCGAGTTGGTTGACTACCCCCTCGGCAACTGTATCGATTAGACCGTCAACATCGCCTACGTTATACCCTAGAATTGACTTATGCTTGCAACTAGCAAACTGTAGAGTAAACAGTAGATTAAATATGCACTGCCCTACCCCCCCCCCTTAACCCCACTTTCTTCAAGATACAGATGATAAGGCATAGGCAACCTACTCTTCCAAATTCGTGCTAATCATACATGTCAATTGAGGTCATCCTAAAGGCGAAGCCAAAAAGGTAGGCCAAAAGGTGCGCCAAAAAGTAAATACCAATCGCTATCCGCTCTCATGAAGCCCATTCCAAGGCTAGGGCTATTCAATGGCCATATATATATTAGCATATTGAACGTTCAGCTCCTGTGGCCCGCACCCGAAACCTAGATTGCTGCCCGCCGTACTTCTTCTGCCCCCTTCTAGCGGACTTGGGCGAAAATTATGCGGGCTGTTTTCGAAGCTGATATTTGAGTCGTACAGGCGAGGCTGGTTTGTGTGCTGCGTGTCGGTCCCGGTCTACTGTGGGGGTGCTTGTGATTGGGTTGCCTTTAGGATCTGCCAGTGTGTAGTCGAACATGGCGGTGAAGGTGGCCACGATGATGCTCATCTCGAGCTTCGCGAACTGGAAAGGGGGTCAGTATCTAGCTTGATATTTATTGGGGTGCAAAATACTTACTCTCATTCCTACTGTTGTAGGCGGAGGAGTTGGGTTAGTGATTGATGCCCACAGACGCAAAGGTAGCCCCGACAGGGTGGAGGAGCACTTACAGCATGGATGGCGACCAACACCCCACCCTATATACGAGAGTGGCTCCTTCTTGTCCTCGGCTCGGTCGGGGAGGTAACGGCCCGGGTCCCACTTGTTGGGCTCTGTGTAAATCTCGGGGTTGAAATGGATGTCATCGAGGAGGTAGATCTGGGCATTATCAGCAACTGGAACCCTCGCATGGCTCGGCGGATGAGCTTACAGCAAAGGCATCCTTGGGAACGACTTCTCCATCGTTGCCGATAGGAATGTCCTTGCCGCTGACATTCTTGCGGAACGCCGTGCCGACGAGCTGGAACCGGATGCACTCGCGCAGGCACAGGTCGATCAACGGGAAGTCACTTTCCCAGCTCTCGATGGGCAGCGACGAGAGGACATCGAGGGCATGCTGATCAGGGCTCTTGCGGTGCTTCTCGACCGCGGCGTCGACTTCGGCCTGCACTTGTTTATACCAGTAGGGGGTGGTGGCGAGGTACGAGAACATCCACCCGGCGTTGATGCCGCTGTTGAGCTGACCGGCGAAGAGCGCGCCGAGGACGAACTGCCACCGAGGTTAGCAGAGGCGTACAACCATATTGCAGCCAGCCGTTGGTGACTGGCTGTGCACGCTGTGATTTCGTGGTTACGTAGTGACGTGGTTACACATTGGCAGGGTATCCCGAGGTCGACAATGGTAAAAGGAATCACTCACGGAGAGAATACGGATCATATCAGCCCCGCTGTCGATGAGGAACTGCAGCGCATCGTCCTCCCTCCGACCCTCCTGCTTGCGGGCCTCGACCAGCTTCGAGAATATCATGTACAGCTTGCCGCCGGCATACATCTTGCGCAAGTGCGCCGGCGTCATCAGCCAGGGGAAGATGATGCGGGTGGGCGAGCTGCACCGCTCGATTGTCTCGAACAGGCCCAGCGTCTTCTCCAGGAGCTCGGGGGACCGGGCGATCTCGTTTGCGCCGACGGTACGCATCGTCAGCAGGTACACGATCTTGTAGAGGTCGTCGAAGGGGTCGATGAGGCCCGATGTCGAGCCCTCGCCCCCGCGGGCAACTGCCCGCTCCAACGCCGACCTCGTGTCGCCGACCAAGATGGGGAGGTTCTTGACGAAGTTCTCCTTCTTCAGCATCGCCATGATGGTCCTGCTGAACCACTTGTCGAAGCTCAGCTGGCCAGCAGTTTTGGCATCTTCGGGTATGCTCGGCGTCGTGGTGAAGAGGACGGCATAGCTGGTTCGGCGCATGTCAGCCCGCCATTGGGGGACGCAGTGTAGTGTAGGGGTTGCCTCGCACCCACACCCGCACCCGCACGCGTCTTACCCTTCTGCCATGCTCATGTCCTTGTTGTCAAAGAAGGTCTTGCGCCCGTTCAGGCCCGAGAGGCCAACGATCTGGTACTTGCCAAAGTAGAAGCTAAAGTTACCCGTCTTGGTCGCGGATGTTCCATGGCGGGCAAAGTTGCGGCGATCGGAGAAGAAGCGTAGGGCGCCGACGATGGGATACCCTTCCTTCAGCAGCTTCGGCGCATTCTTGGGGAAAGACGGTCGCCATGCAAGCCGGGCGACGACATAGGTGATGCTGGTGAGCAGCAGGATCCAAACAGTGGCCCGCCAGTTCTGGTATTGGGTGATGCTCTCCAGGTTCGCGTTCAGGGCGTCCATGGTGCCGAGAGTCTGGATCCTCGCGGAGGAGTAAAGAGCTGCTGAGACACGCAGTATCGACAGCGAAGGAAGAATGGAAGGGAGGTGGAGGTAGAGGTGGAGGTGGCGGTGGGGATGATGATGATGGCGATCAAAACGATCGATGGGGGCCCCAACCCTTGCCCACCCCCTACCCCGGTCCCGTCCTCCACCCACTCTTCCTCAACGGCTGCCACTCACCAGCTCGCGATTAGTGTGTACTTTGCGGAGTACTTTGCAGCAGTCCCGCAGTAGTTCCTGATGTTGCACTAGGTCGTTCGGGAGGATTCAATCCCGCTCCCACACTAGAGTCTTTTGGGTAAATCTTACTCAGCCCTGCTGTTTCAATTGACACTCGGCAACATTCCCTTCCGTACATTTGTGCCGTCATTCTGTATAAAATGGGGGTTGCAGACAGCTCAGAATGGCTACAATTGACGCCGACAAATTCAGGATTGGCAGTTGAAGAACAGCCCACCATTCAACCTGCGTCCTCTAGTTCTTGGCTAACGACCCGATGATGGGAAGGATGGCCACTACAGCACATCACCAACTGGGGTGCGTGATTGGTTGAGGTGGTTATCATGAATTTGTCAAGAGAATGAAGATGAAATGTCATCCACTAATTAACCACATCCTGCCTATCATCGTCCCATCTTGATGTTGGTGTAACCCTCCCAGCAGTCTGGCTGCAGGAAACGGTCCGTTCCGGCCAGCTTCTGCATTTCATGCCGGCGCTGCGCATATTGTCTGCACTTAAAACTTTGATTTTGTCGACTTGATAGTGAGCATATTTATTCCAGTTCGCGATAGTTTCAGAAGCTCAAGCCCCCTGAAGAGCCAGTCGCACTCTGTCTCTTGAGATGCTGAGTACAAATAATAGCCAAGTTAGTCTTCTCTCCCATCCCACCCTCTCCTACACCCTAGGAAGGCTAAATCTGCTGCATCCTTCAGCAGACACCTGACTAGAGTATGACAACAGAATAAAACATCGGTTCCACGAAAGGTTTGCTATACCAATAAATATAGGATGAGAGTGCCATAGAAAGAGATTGACTGGAAAGCGAAGTAAGTAAGTCAAATGGGGAGATAATACGGCAAGTCTAAATAAGAACTGAAGAGCCCCAGTTCTTTTCAGGTCATAATTACTTGCTGTACCGTCTCTCGCATCTCTCAAATCCTATCAGATTTTCAGTTCCAAACAATACCTTTCGCTTTGTTGCATATTCTAGGATACAACTGATATCCAAGTTGATCCATCCACAATAAGAGAATATATATTGAGACCACTGAAGAACCATAGGACAAACCGATATGAGGAGAGAGTAAAAGGAATGCGTCGGTACTTACATAGGGAGATATTTGTAGAAAGGGGCCATTATCTTAGTTGATCTGTTTAGAACCACTATTTTCCCATCAGTATTGTCTGGGCTTTGGTCTCTAGGAACAGAAGATGGGTTTTCTTTTACTTACCCAGTTTTATAGCAGTGATAGAGACACTCAAACTCAAACTCGTCTAGGGTAGTCTAAGCCAGAAGTGTGAGTAAAGCATAGATACCTCTAGGCCGAAGTGAGACAGTTTTCAGTTTTACAAAATTTATTAACCACTCAGTAAAGTCCCTAGATGCCTTTCAACTCCTAGACGTCCCTCCTTCCTTTCCCAATTCATTCATGTGATCCGTTAGCTCTGTGAGCGCAGTCACGAAACAATCTTATTCAATGGTGTAATTATGCTTAAAAGCAACCCAGGGCTATCATAGATGCAATTAAAGCAAAATACTAGACGGCGTCTGTGAAGACGGAGGAATCCCAGCCAGTAGATTATTTCTCGATTATCTTTCAATCACCATCAACAAAACGCGCATTCTTTTGGAGGAAACGTAAACCCGACCATACTCAACTTTACAGGCTAATTAAAAAACCTCTTTCCACGAGTAAGACATAGTCGCAGGCCCTGACGGGCCCGATAACGCTCGTCTTGGCGCCAACACAACCCGCAGAATCACGACCCAGCTGGCAGGACCTAAGCCGAAATTCGGGGGACGGGTCCGATTTAATCAACGCCGCATGCGGCATCTAGAACTACCGACGCCGCGACCATGTTTGATACCAATCCGAACCTCATCCAAGACCCTCAGCGGTCGTCGGAACGATCGTCGCCCACCCCGCTCGTCCTCATCCACGACGGCGGCGGCACGATATTCAGCTACTACTGCCTAGGCAGCCTGGGCAGGCCACTCTACGGTATCTTCAACCCCAACTACCACTCCGGGCGGTCGTGGGCCGGGGGCCTCCCGGAAATGGCCCGGCACTACGTCAGGCTGGTCCGGACCGTCGTGCCCCGGGGCCCCGTCATCCTCGGCGGCTGGTCCCTCGGGGGCCTGCTCTCGCTCGAGATGGCGCGGGAGCTGGCCGGCGACCCGTCCCTCCGGGTGCTCGGGATCGTCATGATCGACAGCGTCTACCCCAGGGCCCCGCCGGCCTGGCTGCCGTCGCTGCCGGTGGTGCAGCACGCCGCCAAGTGGGGGGAGAACACGCGGCCCGAGACACGTGCCGCCGTCACGAGGTGCTTTGAGGAGGCGGTGGCGATGGTTGGCCGGTGGACGCCGCCGGCGTGGGGGCCGGAGAGTGCCGACGCGTCGCAGATGGCAAGCATGGATGGCCGGAATAGCCATTCTACATCCTCGCCCGCACACGGTCCGCCGCCAGTGTTCCTGCTGCGGGCGAAGGAAGCTGTTCCGGTCCTGGTTGAGGGCGTGAGCAGGGTCGACCTGCACCGGCAAGACCGTTTACTGGGATGGGGTAACTACCGGAGAGACATGATCGTCCGAGTCACGGATATCCCAGGGCACCACTTCAGTATATTTGCATTGGAGAACCTAGACGCTGTCACAGAGGGGTTGATAAAGGTGTGTTCTGAGGTTGAGGACTGGACTCCTAGATAAAGAAGATGGACGAGATAGACATCCACTGGCAGGAGAAAGGGGGCTGATGGCCTGGGGCAGCTCAGAGAGGAGAGAGTCGTCTGCACTACCACCCTTCGACGGCATGGGCTGCGGTCACACATATCAGCCGCTTCATTTATACCCTCCTGGAATTAAAGTCCCGGGCATCAAACCCAGCCCTGAGATGTATATTAGATATATTGGAGAGCCCTTCTTGGCCCCCAACCACAATATCTGGGATCCGAAACCTTCCGACCAATGGGAGTCCCGTAACTTTAGGTTACAAGTCTTGAGAGTCTTGGGATTCCCCTCCTCATCCTATCTTCAGCCAGACGAGGAGCAACGCCAACGGAATCGGGCCAAGACGTGCGATACAACATGCTGTCAGCTGGGGATTTAGCCTCTTGCAACAATTCGATATCTGGACCGTTCCTGAGCGCTGAGCTACACTTGGTTTGGTTGATGAGGAGGTCACTCACGTACCGATTTACAAGTGCATATGTGGTCTGCCCCAAACCGCCGAATCATAGATCGCCATACCACAACCATCCTGCTTTTTACCCGGCACCACACTACAGAGGATCAAGATGGGCAGGGGTTTTCCACAGCGGCACTTTACAAGCTGCTGATTCTCGCCCACCTTGGGAATAAGTCCTGGGGAGTCATTGCAACAGCTTGGAACGCCAGTTTCTGGCATTCTAACTATTCGAGATCATTTGCAACTCGCCGTCGCTGTCTGTGTAAGTGAGGGGGAGTATAAAACATGCACCATCCTCTTCCACACTATGGACTGATGTCCACTAGATGTGCAGCTCTTGGCTGTTAACATGATCGACAATTTAGAGAAGCTTCGTAGAGCAGCTTTCATCAAGAGCAGCAGCCTCACAACTCCTCCCGGAGCCCTTTGAGACCCCGTTTCTACACAGTCACTCGGCTGACGGTCACCCCCCATCGCGCCAAGATGGGCACCAGCATTGAGCGCAACAACCACCTAGTGCAGAACTGGAAATGCATCCTGATCTGCTGCATGGCCCTGGATAACTGCCAGTACGACTTCGACACGGCGGCCATCGGCGGCTTCCAGGCCATGGTGGGCTTCCTCCGGGTGTTCGGCTACGCGGACCTGGACTGGCCCAGGGGATGGAACATCGTCACGCGGTCGCATCGGCTCCCTGCCGTCGCCGACCAGCAGTCGCAGCGCCACGACAGCAAGCTAGCCTACCAGATCCCCCTCGCCGCCCTGTACGCCATCCCCGCCACCCTCATCGTCCTCATCTTCTTCATCCCCGAGTAGCCCCGCTGGCTGCTAGTCCAGAACCGGCCCGAGGACGCCAGGAGAGCGCTGATGCGCCTAAGGGGCAAGTCGCTGGGCCCGGAGTTCTTCGAGGGGGAGTTCACCGGTCTACTCGACGGTGGCGAACCTGGGCGGCAGCATGGTGGGCATGTACCGGATGTACAAGCACCTGGACCGGCTGTCCATGATGATGCTCGGCACCGCCTGCGCGGGACTGTCCAAGTTCGCCTCGGTGCTGGCCTACACCATTCAGCCCGGCGCACCGCCACTGCCGGCACCGTCACCGCCGCCTTCTCCATCGTCTACGGGTGCCTGTACAACAGCTTCTCGGGAACTCTCAGCTAGGCCCTCGCCAGCGAGCTGCGAGGCTGAGTGTCCTCACTGTGTCGTTGGCCACTGGTGTCAACTACTTTTTCTCATGTGAGTCTGCTACGGGCCTGGAGCTGTCCCTATTTTTTTAGACGGAAGGGGGAAATGGGACGGAGGGATGTGGGAGGGCTTCTGGTGAGAAAAACTTTGCACTACGCTGGGACACGCCACCAAGGCTTGCCTCTTGCTGCACACCCTACTTCATCAATCAAAGGCCATAAACTAGGGCGGCAAGTACTGCTGGGTCTGGGTGGATTCAGCGTGCTCACCCTTGGTAACCACTGGGATTAAATACGAGAGAGAGAAAAACAGGACTGGACCCAAAGCTGACAGAATGTGTTTGTCGCACCTCACCAGTATTCTTATACTTTTTGCTCCCGGAGATCAAGGGCCGCTCGCTGGAGGAGATCGACGAGCTGTTCCAGAACCGCGTGTCCGCCAAGGGCTTCCCAGGGTACGAATACATCACGTCCACCCGGGCGCGCGAGATCGCGATCCAGGACCTGAAGCTGGACGGGACCATCCGGGAGGAAAGGGCAGAGAAGGTTGCGGATGTTTAGGTGTGGAGTGCCGGGCATTGGATGGCTCTGCCACCCCCCTGATGAGGTTTCGGCGGGGATGTGCATTGAGAGATATTGGCCTTGGGCCCCTGCCGGAAGTAGCGGTGAATCGGTTTCCCAGTTGGAGATGCGTCCCAGTAAGACCGACCCTCGGAAGGCTACGAGTCGGGAAGCTGCAGTGCCTAGGCCCCTTGAGTCAGCTGCGTCACGGTGCCCCGACCGTAGGCCCGGCCGAGTTTGGCCAAGAGACTGTCGCGCGGCTGAGTGCATGGAGGTGGGCTGGATCTGGAAGCACTTGGCAGAGCCAAAGCGAGCACCCGTAGCAAGGATGGGCAGACAGTTAAGCGTATCACTACGTCCGTCCTGTTGTGAGCTGGCGGAGAACCGAAGGGACTCTTCTAGGCCTAGGGAGATTTTGATTCTTTGCGGCTGTGGTGGGAGGGGGTGCAGGGCAAGTTGTGCATTGATCGGACCCTCATTGTGTTCCCTCGAAGCTCTATTATAGAACAGATTTCGACGGGGATACTGCCATGGAACTCATGGGGTGCTAGGTTGTTATGCACAAACAGTGCCCCAAACGGTCAGGCCGAAACGGTTTCGTTAACTGTGAAATGTGACTTGAAACGACCAGGCCGGTACGTATATGGGCGAAAGGATTCCATCCTCGTCAGCGTGCCTGCCTGACAGCACACATTTGAAAGATCACGGACGAAGGGGCATGCTTCTCGGCGGAGTGCTAGTGGTACTCCCGCAAAGATGAGGAATGCTATAATCAAAGATGGAGCCGACAAGGAGCGTCAGCGCCTCATCGATTCGATTGACACTGAGGCCATTTGCCGACTCGCCTCATCATACCACGGCGGCGATCCTTGCAATACGTTCAAGCCCCATAAGCATGGCTCCTTCAATGTTTGTTACTTTGTCTAATTTGATACATCCCCTCGCGAGAGATGGTTGTCCGGATTCCCCTCCCAGCCCGCATTGCCTGGATTGACGAAAAGGTCGAGGCAGCATTGGCTACGATGAGGTGAGCCTGTCCCCATGCATCTCAAAACGCTCCGCCCACCTGACAAGGTCGCGCGGGCAGATATGTTGCAGCCAAGACCACTATTCCTGTTCCCCGAGTGCATGCCTACTCCTTCACCGAGGGCAGCCCGATTAACACAGCCTACATAATCATGGACTATGTGGAAGGCCAGACTCTGAGGGAACTTGGCTTCCGGAAGTCCAAGAAGTGGGGCTTGAGCTATGAGAACCCGACGGAAGCAACCAAGAAAGTGTACGAGCAGCTAGCAGACGTCTACATCTAGCTCCGCCGGCTCGAGTTCCCCAAAATTGGGGCCCTAGGCCTTCCGGCCGAGAATGGCTGGCCGTCATACACGTGCAATCCAGACGATATCCGGATGTGCCACCGCCCGCTCTCCATCGAGACGGCCCTGCAAGAGGTCGAGGGGATGGATCCGGGCGCCAAGATCAAGCCGGGAACAACCTTCCAGACTGCGAGGAGCTACGTAGACGCTCTATTCTGGCTAGCCGACAATGAACTGGACAAATCCCCCGACTTGTTCATGGACTCCCGTGGGGGGCGGCGGATCCTCTACGCCAGACACCACTTCCGCCGCTTCGTCCTCGATACGTGGCTCGATTCCGAAGCCGACAGGGGGCCCTTTGTGTTAATGCATGGAGATATCACCTTGCTCACAAACAACATTCTCTTCAACGAGGACCTTGAACTTGTCGGCGTTCTCGATTGGGAATGGAGCTATGTTGTGCCGGCACAGCTGCTCGTCCCTCCCGTCTGGCTGACTGGCTCCAGCTTGGACTTCATGCTGATGACTCGACAGTGGTACAACAGCGGGGTTGGCCATCTTGTCGCCGCCATTAAGGACCGCGAGAGGGTCTTCCAGGTCCCACCTCTACTGTCGCAGGAATGGGCCAAGATGGAGACCTGGTGCCATACGGCCGTTGCCGTGGCGCTCCTGAACCCGGACATGATCCACGGCGTGTATTGGAACTTTCTTATCTACGAGCTCGTAGAGCTGGCGCCACCTGCTGAAAAGTTCCGCGAGTTCTATGAGGAATTCATCTCCCCGCGCCCAGCAGCTTTTATGGAGGAGTCGTCGGCACGTAAGGTCCTTCTCGCCCGCAAGCAGCAGGAGCAGATGCGATTTTTCGAGGAAGAAAAGGAATACTTCCATTTTGAATGCACACGATAGATAGTAAAAGACGAGTAAATAGACGTATGGGAGTCACGGCCCTTGTGTGCCATAGTGACGTGAATCCCCACCTTCATGGCTCGAGTAATGCCTCGTGTGCCGAGATACGCATCGAAGGCAATAATCCCATCAATGCTTGAAGGGCAATGCCCGACTGACCCCCATGTGCATAGCCTGCTTGGTGTACATTTGTAACAGCCTGCAACAACTGTCTCGCCATTTTGAGGATAACTTCTGGGTCTAGTCGATCTCCGCCCGAATGGTATTCAGCAACGACTGTGTCAACTGAGGGTCCAAGAAGTTCCGTGACGAGACAAATGGGTAGCCCTGAAGATCGGGACTACCAGTAGCAGAATACCATCTCTAGAGCTCTCAACCCTGCAAACCTTCCAGCAAAGTGGCGCCTCACCCTACGCTATCCCATTACTCGACTCTTTGGTTCATACAGGATCAAACAGATCTCACCACTGTCAAGTCTTGGCGTAATCAGTAGGTGAATGCAAGATGCAACATCTTGCTTGGCCTACAAGTTATCCTTGGCAAGCGGGACAGATGAGAACCCTCCCCATCCCAGCTTATGAGCGACTTTGTAGCGCTTCTCCTTGAACGTACCGCCCAAGCAGACGGGATGATAGCTGCCTGCGTGTAAAGTGATACCTTCTCTTGGTTATAAAGGAGATTCGACAGAGGATAGGTAGCTAGGTCGTCTATTGAGAACTGGCAATGAGAGACCTGGGGAGCACAGATAGCAAGAGAAGCTGTCACAGGAAGGAAGGACTGGATGTTGGGAATCCGAGCTTGTATAAATTTATGATGAGATTTATGCAACCCCGAGTTCGCCCTGGTTGGCTCAGGCTAAAAGCGACGTGGCTCAGGTACTGTAGCGTGCGTATCCAGGATTCTGGTACCAGTCAGGCAGACCTGGTTTGCTGGTTATGGAGAATACGAGATTGTTCGCGGATATAGTGCTGATCTTTGTCTCTCCATCGCAATACGAAGTCTGGGATTGCATCCCAAAACCAGGAATGCAACCAGTTAGTGCGGGAAACGGCGCGGGAGACAGGGGTAGCCAGTGCCGCTTCTCGACCCCAACCCGGCATTTACTGGTCCCCGGACCCACTGCAACGCCTTGCCAACGAACGGTTCAACATCGCACACAGTCTTGCGCGGATTCACAAGGCCAATTGGTCCTTACCCCTTGCCCATGCTGTGCCATCTCCCGGCTCGCTGTGTATCTGCCAGCTGAGTGACGTTGGATGTGCCGAGAGCACCCCCGAGTTGCACTTGGCGATGTCGATATAAGAGACCTCAAGCACTCAACTCCCTCTCAAGTTCCTCTAGTGTTCTTCTCTCTTCATCACCCGATCCACCACGCCCACCAGTCTCGGAAACTTCCGAGAGAGCCAGCCCTTGACCAGAAAAGTTCCAGTACCAACGACCAAGACACAGTCAGCACCATGCACTTTTCCAACCTCCTCGGTATCTTCTCCCTAGCAGCCGCGGCGGCCGCCACAACTGGTAAGTCTCAGAAACGCCGTGCCCGCTCACTACTCCGACGTAAGAGCTAATCCCCCTGCCAAAATAAAGTCTCCTACGACACCGGCTATGACGATCCTAATCGGTCCCTGGAAGTCGTGAGCTGCTCCGACGGGGCAAACGGCCTGATGACCAAGTACGGTTGGCAAAAGCAGAGCAACATCACCCGCTTCCCATTCATCGGCGGGGTTGAGGCCGTGGCCTCGTGGAACTCTCCAAGCGTGAGCTCACCTGACCCCACCACCCTCGCTGTGCTATAGTTATTGTCTCCATGGGCTGACCCCTTGCCAAAGTGCGGAACTTGCTGGTCGGCCACTTACAATGGCAGGACCATCTACGTTCTCGCCATCGACCATGCTGCGGCCGGCTTGAACATTGCCTTGGACGCTATGAACAACTTGACAAATGGTCAGGCTGTGAGCCTCGGCAGGGTTGATGCTGTGGTTTCCCAGGTTGACCTGAAAGACTGTGGATTGTAATGAAAAAAAACCCACAAAGCACCACCTTAACGAACCCTGGTCATGAGATATGATATCACATTGATTGGCGCACCTTGGCTTGTCATCAGAGGAGTAGACATTTAAAGCAGATAATTTTATTCCGTCCCCCAACCAGTGTGCTTCTGCAGGAAATCAACGAGGTCCATCAGCATGGCCTCGGAGTACCAGTGCCCGAGTCCCTCGTATTCGTGCCAGGAAGCATGGACGCCGATGGACGCGAGACAGTCTGCGCTCTCTCGTCCGAGATGAACGGGAACCTTGTCATCTTCGACGCCGTGCCCGAAGAACACAGGGGTAGCCGTGATAGATGGCTGGCCGCGCAACGGTGACACCCGAGGTAACTCTAGCTCCTCCCGCAGACCAATAGTAGCCCTAGAGCAGGAATCGTCACTGGTCTCCGTCCCGCCATCGGCATCGCCGTCTAGGGGCGTCGCGTCCGAATGGCCAAAAGGATCGAGTCCACTCTCGACCGGCGAACGCTCGAACGGGTCGAAGCCGTCATCATCATCGTCATCATCATCGCACTGACCAGCATCTCGCCCAACACCCGCCGCCACCTCAACCGCCGCCTTGAACGGCAACCACCCACACATGCCCACAACGGCACCCAGCCTCTCCCCCTCCCACAGCATGGCCGCGACCAGGCTCGCCGCGCACCCCTGACTCAGGCCCCCGAGCACGACGTTCCCGGCCCCGCCGACCAGTCCCGCCTCCCGCCTCAGCAGGTCGTGCAGGAACGCCGTCGTCCGCGGCAGGCCCTCGGCCATCAGCCAGGGCTTGCGGTCCGGGTCGTCGTCGGCGTGCCAGCAGTCGAACCACTGGTTGATGACGCTGCGCGCGTAGACGCTGGCGCGGCTGCGCACCGCCGTGGGGAACACGAACTTGGCGTGCGGGAAGAGCGCGGCGAGTGTTGACGCCGGTCCCGGCGCCGGTGGCGTCGCCGGCGGCGTTGCGGGAGTCCGGCCCGCGGAGACGGCGGGGATCGGGGTTGAGAGGAGGGCCGGGCCGAATTTGGTGGCGCTGGAACCGCGGCCGTGGAGAAGGATGAAGGTTTGTTTATGGGTGGAGAGGGGGGGGACCACCAAGGGGGTTGGAAAGTGTGTTTCAGGAGCCATGACGTTTGGTATCTTCTAGACCTCTAGAGCCCGTGTTGAAGCAAGAGAATCCCTAACACAAGTCTCGGACTTTTCCGGAAGATGCATGCCTGGGGATTGCATTCCGCGTTTGTCGGGACGCAGCGGGAAGCAAGCGGCTGTGGAATTTGTCGCTCGTTATGCTCATCTTAAAGAGAAATGGCGCAAGCTAGAAGCATCTGACGCGGATCACTAGATCTTCGCTCTCCAATTTGGTGGTGTTGTTCCAGTCATTGAAACTGACCTCACCCTGGACCCTGGACCCTTGTAGATGGACCGTGCCCACATGCCTCTAGTGGGAATGCTAGCGCCACAAGGGTCTGTGGCCAATCGCACCTTAGCCTCAACTCAGCCTTGCATAACCTCCTGGCTCCCCTTCCCCAGACAAGCGAGGGATGGCATGTAGTTTGATGTACCTACCGAAGCCATCAACCTCATCCATTATCCCTACAAACTCCCCGTGATGGCGTCTCCTTCTTTTCGCTCCATTTTCGCCTACGCAGGAAACATTATCTCACAATTCCCTCTCTTCTCCAACGGCCTCCACCGCCCTAGCCCTGCCACACATTACGACCCCCTCAGCGGCGCTCCATCATGTCCATTAGACGGGGATATGAGTTGCCACAACAGCACGCCAGTGGCCGGCGACAACTGCTGTTTCGTTTATCCCGGGGGGAAATTGCTGCTGACGCAGTTCTGGGATGAGGAGGTACATGTTGGCGGGACAGAGGAGGACTGGACCCTCCATGGGCTATGGTAGGGGTTTTCTCGATATCTGGGCCCAGCGATTGAGGACATTTTCTCTAACTACACGACTGGGTACAATAGGCCCGATCTTTGCGACGGCACCTATGACACCTTCTGCGGCATGACGCCGCGCTTCGACAACGTCACTGATATCCTGAAACAATACGGCCAGCAGGAGCTACTGGAGTTCATGGATAGGTACTGGATAGCAGCATCGTAAGCCGCCCAGGGACCTTCACTTAAACTACCTAGCCAATATTCGGCCCGCAACATGTCAGCTAACCAGCACCTTCCCCCTTTTGTCCAAACAGCGGCCCGAACTCCAATCTCTGGGGCCACGAATACAACAAGCATGCCACCTGCATCAACACACTCTCCCCAACCTGCTACGGTCCCTCCTACAGCACAGGGATCGAGGCAGTCGACTACTTCACCCGCGCGGTCGCGCTCTTCCGCACCCTCGACACGTACACCGCCCTCGCGCGCGCCGGCATCGTGCCCCACGCGACGCGTGCCTACCCGCTGGCCGACGTGCGCGACGCCCTGGAGCGCTTCGGCGGCGGGCGCGTCGTCCTCAGGTGCGGCCGCGGCAGCAAGAGGGACGCCCTGCACGAGGCGTGGTACGTCTACTTCGTCAAGGGGAGCCTGCAGACGGGCGAGTTCGTCCCCGCCGCCGAGCTGGGGAGGGAGGGCAACGCGGGGAATTGCCCGTCCAGGGTGAGGTATTTGCCCAAGAGGGCGGGGGTTGCGGGTGAGCTTCGATAGAACTGGATAGGCCCCTGGGGAAAAGGGGGGTTTCCCGGCTTTATGTCACGGGCTCACGGGCCTTCGGCGTCGGCGTGGTTTCTTGAACTTGTGATACCTACCCTCTTTGTGAGGATAATATGATGAGCTGTGGGAGCTCTTGGCATATGCTTGTGAGAAATATCTGTAACAGGAAGCCAGCATAAATTTAATGAATCCAATCCGTGGACGGACACCGACTGTTGTCATTGGGAGAGAAGGCCCGGATGGCGGTGGATCTCGCCCGATCCCGATCAGGGTAGCGCAAGTGCTCGTTCAACCATTCTAGAAGGTGGTTTTCAACCTCCATAGAATTGTCCCAGTCGTTCCGTCCCACCAACCTTGCTTCGCATGGAAGTCTGAGGCTCGCCCACCCCTAAACCTGCCGTGGCTGGTTCAGCAATGACACAAGTTCTGACAACGGAAGAAGACACCTGTTTCTGCCCCTCCTGCAGTAACGACTCTCAACACCATACACCGCCGGTTACGGGGACTGCTCCAGGGTATTGTAGTTGCCAGGAAGAGGTCGTGCGGTTGCGTAATATGCAACCCGCGACTAGCTTAGGAGGCTGTGGTAGAACCGATGGAAAGAGCCCGACGCCAGTTCTTTTTGGCGCAAGGAAAAGAGGGGGAGGAGTGATGAAGCACTAGATAATACTGCCGCTGATGTAAAATCGGCCGAGGACAACGAGTAAGAGGACGGAGATGAGGATAGTTGGGGAAACAGGGCCTGCTCAAGCGGCAGCTAAGCTCACTGGGAGCTTCTGGATCTCTCTTGGCAAGCGATGACGCATACATCAGGAAACATGAGGCAGGCGCTCATGTTCTTTTGATGAAGACTAATAATGAGGGTATGGGCGGGGAACGATTACTAGAGGAGAAGCATCGGGCCGATCCATAGCTACGTGGCGGCATATACCAAATTCAGACAGTTATGCGGAGAAGCAGGAGCTCTCTTGCAAAGGTTGTCGAGAACCGAACACTGGATGAGTTTGCGGGGAAGACACTAGTCGATAGTGAAGTGGTGGTGACCCTGTGGCCCGGCGGCAAGAGATTTCAATTTAGGGCATTTATCGGCTCCTCAGAGGTAGTAAAGGTGCCTCCTGTTGAAGACAGCCGCCTGCTGCAGTATACGTCGGAGATTCCTGACTGCTGCTCACAACCCAGCCTAGCTGAACTGAGCCGGGGCATATGGTTGTGACACCACTGGCGATGCATGGCTGAGCTAAGCTGAGCTGTTGGTGACTTGTGCCTTGGTGGCATGTCCCGTGTAAGGCTGATGATCGTCCAAGTGATTGCATTTTCAGCACTCGAGATGGACAGACAAATGCTGATGAACATAAATAGCGCAATAAAAGTGTGATTGTCCTGCCTGAATACACAGCCTCCGGCTGGCAGAGTACTACGCAGTAAAATATTCTAACCGACGGGTCTGTAGCCTTTTCGGTCCGATGGCGTGGGGCGTATGAGCTGAGTGGCTTAAGTCTGTGAGACTTTTCCGCATTCCTGCCTCAGTGCATCCCGTCTGCCAACCTTCTTGCAGCAAAAAAAGAGAGAAACAAGGCAGCAGTGCAGCAGCACAACCCCAATCGTAAAAGAAAACAATCTTTCATAGGTTTAAGTAGATCGGCGTCGTTGAGCCTTCAGTAAAAGTGAAGTCAAATACGTTTCCCCTGGACTGACAACGGTTGTCTTGGTGAACGGGAATAAAACTGGGGAGGTTGCTGAAAAACAAATTGGACTAGGGACAAAGGCAGTTAAGGGAGAGTTTCAACATCCAGTGCGGTGGGTTGTTGTTCTCCACATGCATGGGCAAATGTCTCTGTGAGGAGGGGTCTGTGCAGTTATGGCAGCTGTAATCTGGACTCAGCCAGGTGCCAATGTACACTTATTTTGTCAGGCCTGCCAGAGCCCTTTGCCGTTGCTAAGTCGTATAGAACCCTGCGCTTACTGCGTAGAGACCTTGTGCTAGCTGCCTGCCAGTGCCGGATCCAAAGCCGAGTCCGTCCACACGGCCAAGCCAGTCGAAATCGCAGTCATACTGACGCGATAAAATGGCGTTGGTAATTTCTGGAAAGCCTCGCACTGATGCAGTGATGCCTGTGATGAAGGGCTAGGCTGCATAAACAAGTAGGTAGTCGTACCTACCTACGGAAGTACTCCGTAACCGAACCCGTATAGGCGTTCTGATTGGACAACCCAGCACTCTGTGGCCACTTCCCCAGAGAGATCCCCGTGAATCCCTGTCGCAAGAAGTGGTACGTACCAAATTACTGTGTAGAGCCACCGAGCCACTGATTGCCTTGCCTCGGCTTGCCATGCAGCTTCCATTTCCGTCGCGTCTGGATCTTTGTATCTCCCTACCAGGTGAGGCTCGTGCCGATGGAATTAGACCAGACGGTGTCATAATTTCTTGCCCAAGACATGTCTCTCAAGACTGTCTGTCTCTCTTGATCGGTATCTGGGTCTGAGCGGCAGGTCAAGTTCCAGCAGCGGAATTTGGACGCACTTTGTCTCGAGTTTCTCAGCCGTCAAGCAGCAATCCTGGACTCCTAAGATACCTTGGAGTGGGGAGTGATTAAAAGTCACCTGCGTTGAGCATCCAACTAGGTGAGATACCCAGGTACAAAGAAAAGTACAGCGAACCGCCAGTATCAGGCTCCTAGAACTGCGGGCGGGAGTTCTGGTTCCCCTCCTGCTACCAGAAATCGAATGCCCCAAAAGAAGCCGTCAAGGATCCTAAGGCAAGGGCAAGGGCAAAGGCAAGGGAAGTGCTGTATCGAGGGTAACTTGTTTCAGATCGCAGAGACCTGCGAAGGCCATTTATTGAGTGGTTGATGAGAACTGCCTGATGAGAGGCTGAGACAGTAGGATCGTGGCCCAGGCATGGGCAGACGCCAGACGATTGTGGGCAGGTACGGGTACTGTTTGCACTCATCATCGCCTTGAGCCGACTGGCCTCAGAGGGCCCCGTACCACAACGCAATTATACTTTTACTACCTGATGTATAGACCAGGAAGTACCTAGGCGGGGAAATGCACAAGATTATCCCTCATGCACGGGCAGGTTTGAGGTAAAAGCAAATATAAGTAGGCACCTATCCTGTAGTCGATATCATGCGGGGAGGTACTTTGAGGCAGGAAGCCAACCGAGCCACCTCAGATTTATTAACCTGTAACTGCGGATATTCGTAGTACGTACCTGTTGCGGTGGGCGAGGCTAAAAGAGGTTAGACCTCTAGGTGATCATCAAAGATGGAAGTCACTTCCATATCACCTGCAAGTCCGTATTTTGGCGCTGTTCAGTCTGGCCCCATTCACCTTCCTCACTGCCGCGCCCCTAGCCAAGTGCCTTCAGTGGTCCTCCGCTAACTTGGTAGCGTATTTGCCTCAGGTTCACATAATTTCTCATCTCCTCCCTAACACTGGTGAGCCACGCTAGCACATACCTCTCGCCCAATAACTGTGCACATTGTCCCTCCGCCCTCCAAGTCAGGTTCCACTCCCCCCCTGTCATGCCTGTTCCCATTCATCCGCCCCCATCTCCTCACTTTTCATTTCCCCTTCTCTTCCTCGTCGCCTCCACAAGACGCTTCCACTCCTCCGTGGACTCACTACTAGTATCTCTAGACAAGGTCAGCTTGACATTCCGACGCATTCACATTGAACATTCTAAACTCTTTTTTCTTTCTCATTATTCTATTAGCGTGACAACAACTAAACTTCTCCAGTCCCCAGGTTTCGAAACACTCCCCGCGATTGATTGCCCCATTCGCGATTCGCGAAAATCCTGACGGGCCGATTAACACCCCATACTGCATGCAATACTTGTCTGGAGTCTCCACGATTTCCATTTCCAGCACATCTCCAGACATTCATCGAAGTCCCAGCCTTACCGCCGTGGAGCACACCCAACCGATGGGAGCCTATTGAATAGGTATCGAGTGCGCCCCGATTGCCGTCCGCTGAATAGCAACGAAACGTTCACCTTCTCAATCCGCGGACTCGAGCACGACGTCAATCATGTCGACGGCCGTGAAGAGGGCTTGCGATGCCTGCCATCGTCGCAAAGTCAAGTGCGACGGAATCAATCCTTGCCGCAATTGCTCTGCCTCCCAGCTGTCCTGCACGTACAATGCAATCCCGCAGAAGAAGGGCCCGAAAGGCTCGAGGGCCAAGGTCATCAGCGAGCTCCGGGAGACCCAACGCCAGACGAGTCTTTCTGCAAAGGTGCAGAACAGATTGAACGGCGTCAACAGCCCGCCCTCGAGCCCAAGCCTGGCACCGACTCCGGGACTTCTCACCCCTGACATCGTGAAGGAATCCATCGAGTTTTTCTTCGCCAACATGTACCCGACAATGCCGATCCTCCACCGCCAGCGGCTTGAACAGCAGTCGCTCTTTATGGACCAGAGCCTAGACACGTACTGTCTGCTGACTTCGCTCTCTGCGTTTATGATGCTGCAGCCTGGCATGACGATGCCTGGGAGCGACCCCTACAGCCTCGATAGCATGCCCGGCGCAAACATTGTCTCTGGAACTTTGCTGATGGAGGAGACTGTGCGTGTTCGCAAGGGCTACGACTACCTTGACACGCCAACCCTCAATACACTCTGTACGAGCTACTTCCTTTTCGGCTGCTATTATGCCTTGGACATGCATGACAAGGCCTGGTTCCACTTGCGAGAGGCTACTACGTTACTGCATATGATCGGGATGAACCACGAGGACACTTACAGACAGTACGACGATATTGAGGCATCGAGGCGGAGACGTCTATTTTGGCTGTTCTTTGTGACTGAAAGGTATTTAGACCCATCCATTCCCAGTTGGCGTCGCCCTGTTGCCGCAGGCTAGGTATGATACTGATCTTGCTTCTAGGGCCTACGCCTTGCAGCGCCGCCGACCCTTGACGCTTCAGGCCACCATCAACCTCCCGACGCCGGGCGATGATCCCACCGATCCACTTGCGCACCAGCTAAGCGGCTTCATCCTCCTCGTCAATTTGTTCCGCCCGTTCGATGACGCCTTCGTCGCACTCTTTACCAGGGTTAGGGGAGACTGTTCGGCGCCATATGTCTCGGCCCTGCAGAAGCAACTGCAGGAAGCCCTGCCGTCGTACCTGAACTCGCAGGAATCTCAGCTCGCCGAATTGCAAGTGGACCAACAGTGGCTCAAGAATGTGCAATGGCAGCTGAGCATGGCCAATGGAAACGCCCCCGAATTGTATTCCATTGACATCGGACGTGACCTGCTTCCTATGGTGTCGCATTTCCCAGGAAGCCTGGGCCTGCTCGGCCTTGGTTTGGTACGTCTCTAGCCTCCCTAACATCTCACCGGTTCTCGGTTTTCTCTCCTGCTAACAAACAAATCTAGATTGACAAGCTCTGCGAAATATCCTGCGCCTTGACCGAGTATCTGTCGATGCAGCCCACCTCCCGCGATCCTTTCAGTGTCGGACCCCGGGAACATCTTCATCAAATGCTGAACGTGATCTCGGTGCTCCGTAATGGCGACCAACGGTTCCTGCCCTTGCTTCTCAGCAAGGTTCACGACATCCTCCCGCGTCTCGCAAATCCGATGCTTCAAAATGCTCCCGAGAATGCTTGCAACATTGACATCTTTGACGGTTTCGGCAATGCTGGTATGGCCCAGCCGCCCATGTTCCCGCATGAGGAGTACGAGAACAAATTCGCCGTCCCTCGTATGGACGAACTCAGTAATGACTCGGGTAGTTCTGCCTGTGGCGCTCCCTCGAAGAACGACATCAACTCGCCCTTTGCTAGTTCTCCGGGGATCATGTCTCCCGGGATTGAGATTGGGCATGGTTTGCCTCACGACTTCGGTTCCATGCCTGACCTTGTCATGAGTTCGATGAATGGGAACAACGGACCGTTAAATACGCCTGGGCCAATTGGTAACCATCAACCACACCACCACCACCAGCATCAGCAGCAGCAACCGCAGCACCAGCAAAACCAGCAGCACCAGCAGCAGCACCAGCAGCACACGCAACACCAGCAGCATCAGCAGCAGCAACATCATTCGATGTCCGGATTTCAGAACATGAATCCGCACATGGGCATGAGCCAGGCACCACCAATGACGCTGGGTACACAGTCTCTGAATCAAGGCCTAGGCCTCGGTCAAGGGCTCAACCCTGGCATGGGCAATGCTTTGAGCAATAGGCTAAGCAACTCTATGGCTCCGGCCATGAGCGGAAGCAACATGATGGCCCGACAGCAACCACAGCGAGCTAGTAGTTTCGCCATGGTGCCGCCTCACATCCGCACCGTTGGAGACTTCCATGCACTACAGCGAGCCAATACCTCCGACTTGAGCCCAATGACACCGCTGGGAATAAGTAGCATGGGGCCCGATATGGACTTCAACACGCTGCCGAGGTAGTGATGCCGGTCCTGGATTGGGAGTATCAGGCCCCGGACTAGTCTGCGCCGGGCCTGACTGCCCCCATGCCAGCGACCCCTCAGGCGCAATACCTAGGTTGCCTCCCAGCTCCCACCCTACGTGTTGCTATGGGACATGCTTCCCCGCCACGTATTCCCCCATATATCCTTACCCCATGTTCTCTTTTGTCTTGGATATGCACCGGCTGGCAGTGTGTCTTGCATTTATACTGGAGTATTAAGTGTCAAAGCACCCCCTTTTATTTGTCCCCTTGGTTTGCTGTGGCAACATCATACGAGAGACGACACGGAAAGTAAGAGCCTGAAAGAGGTGGATGAGGAAGCCATTCCCCCGAGAATGCAGAACACTGTCATACCTTTTTCTGGGCGTTTCCTTTGTGTGTACGGCTTTATCTACTTTGGGCTGGGTTGTTATTTGGGTCAGGGAACAGCTTGTTTGGATAAGCGAGTCTGGATCTCGAATCGGAGTTCATTTTGAATTTCGAATCTAATCTGTGAAGGGGGAAGGAAATTATTTGTGTCAGGGCAGGAACGGGTGAAGAGGAGAAGCAGTCCGAAAGTTGGAATTGTTTGAAGTCTGAAGCTGAGGAGGGGATCTTTTCCCCCTTCATGTGTGGGATATGTTTGTTTGCTAACTAAGCTAGAGAAGACTTTTTTGAATTGAGTCGTTATTTATATATATATATATCTCGCCCTCTATCGGCCACTTCGGCTTTTCGATGTGCCTGGTGAGCAGGGCACTTGGAACATATGCAGCTGATCTGGGCGGAACAGATCACAGGTGCGATGGCGACCAAGTCTAGATCATCCTTCTGGCCTGGAGGGACTATGGCCAGAGGTACCATCATCGATTAACGATTTAGTTACTTCGCAGAAAGACTTGACCCAGAGCCCCCACTCCATCCATCCCACAGCATCTCCAAGCCCTTAGCCCCTGCCGCCGAAGCTGTATGACGGTAGCTGGACCATGGCCGGGCATGGGTTATGTCCTCCGAGGCCGAGCTGTGTGCCAAGCGAGAACGTTGAAGGGCACAGCGCCGGGGTCCTTGTATGCACATGCATTCACGAGGCCGAGGACGAATTGAGCTGGACGGGAATGGTGTGATGTGTGCAGGATTGAGAGCAACTCCCAATGACGTTTGGGAGGGCCAGCAGGAGGGCGATGTATGTGTTCTAATGCGTGCGGGAGCCCCGCGCTCTTGCTCCTCCGAAGGGCCCGAATGCATCGTGGACTCGCATTATCCCCTTTCTTCGGACGTCTGTGTTCAAAGCTCGTCCGAAATGGTCGCGATTCACCGCATTCAAGATATAAGCCGTCCGTGCAGGCGGCTAATGTCATGTCCGAGAACCGAGTCCACGGGTCTCCGCCATGGTGGGTTGCCATAGGCTATACAGCTCTCTCTCAGTCTTTGCATTGACGCCGGAATTAAGATGGTGCGCCGGTCCACCATCACCACTGCGTCCGCTGTCGAGCTCGTGGTGGGTTTCTGACTATTGGAGTGGTCACCATCGGGATTCCCCAAAGATAATCACCGGCTGTTCCTGCCAACCTTGCTGGTTCCGGCGATGGTTCCTAGCAACTGGCGGCGAGATGCTATGCCTGGTTTCAGGCCTATGGCTTCTTGTTCCATTCTTAGCTCTTACACCGCTGTCTGCATTGTGCTAGTGATTAGGAAGACACAATCGTGGAGTTGACTTGTCCGTCATGCGGTTATAACGGCAGAGCCTGTTCGTCGACCACCCAAGTATAAGTAGCACCTTGCAGGCTCACCAGAGCAGAAAGGGAGGGAGTCAGTCAAATCAAGCAGCTCAACTCACCAGTCAGATCAGTCAAACTCATTGTTTGAACCAGACATAGCAAAACTCTCGAGGTCTACTCCCTTTCTCTTTCCCGCACCGTTCCCACAGCATGGCCACCCCAACCCCAATCGCAACTCTCGGCCGCGATGCTAAGACTGCCGAAGCTGTCCGAGAGCTACTCCTCCCGGACTTCGATGGTAAGCAACAGAGACTGACCAAGTCCATACCCAGTGGCCCTACAGCATGACTAACGCCGGCGGGCCAACCTAAACAGTTGTGCACACATGCCTCGATACCGCCACGGCCGAGACAGAGCTCCCCCTCGTCTGCTCCGGACAACTCGAAGCCGCGGCCCAGTCCGGGCTGGGCAGCAACGCCAAGCTTCCCGCCGGCGAACGACGGGTCCCCTCGGTCATCTATCTCGGAGGGGGGGTCTCTGACGAAGACACCGCGAAGCTCACTGCCGTGGTTGGAGAGAAGGCACCGGGCGTTCGCTTCATTCGTGTCACGCGCGACGAGGTCCTTGCGACCGGAGCCACGGGACCAGTTCCAGAAGTCATTGCGAAGATCTTTCGCGAAAAGTTTGCGAGCCTGTAAAGAGGTGCTCAAGGTCAGGGCCCGGCAGTGTGGCATCTTCATGCTGGAATCCTGGCAGTACGTGGGATAGTGTAGCAGCAGCGCCAACATAGCTTCTCCATGGGCTCGCCTGTGAAGTATACAAATCTGTTCGGCGCGCCCAGGCTCTTCGTTGTCTTTGCTCAAACGAGTTGTTCAGGCTCTCCGTATTCGCAGCGACTACCGCCATGCATGGTTGCTTCCCTGAGACATGCCTACTCTGCCTTGGCACTGACTTGCACTGACTTCAACTGACTGAGAAACACAAACATAACCCACAGAAAGACGGATGTGGCTGTAACGCTCCGCTTAGATTGGATAAACTGACGTCAGTAGGTCTCTGCATGTTAGGATCACAGCATAGCCTGTAACCTCACATCACAAGCCAAAGACTTCATTAGCTATAGCAGTTGAAAGAGGTGTGCGTTGCTGGGAAGAAACCGAGGCTGGCTCTTGGAAGGGCAGATCTCTCTCACAACCCGGATACGAAACTGCAAGATACCACTTCTCAAGTCACGTGCATAGAGTGCGTCAACTGGTGACGTCTTTTCCATTTATATCTTATCTCCTTTGATTAGCATTTGGACGGGAGCACCCGCTGCGTGGGAAATACCTGTAGGTAAAAGGCTGATTTGGGTCTCCGGGTTTGGCTATAGCAGGCGAAACAATGTCTACTTCTGCAGACCCTTTTTTCGTCGGAACCAACGACAATGTCATCCGCCCTCGGCCGAGGCGGCTTGTCCAGTCGCAGCTCTCCGATATTAGCAACGCCTCCAACGTCAGCAAAGACCATCTCACAACCCCCGAGAATGGCAATTCCGTGGGGATGACGAGGTATGCACCCGTTTGGGGATTTCATATTAAGGAAGGAAGCCGACAGCTAATCACAAGTCTCTCTGTTCGGGCAGTGGCCGGTCGACGCCCATCCCCGCCGATGCACCGCCCTCGGTTAAAAGCCTCTCCTCGGCGCGCCGGCAGGTCCGGGCGGAGCAGCGCCGGCGCATCTTCCCGACGATCGAGTTCGCGAGCCGAGTGTCCCACTTCGACCCCAACAGCGACTACCGCGACTTCCACGGCTTCTTCAACCTCTTCTGGATCGGCCTGGCCATCATGGCCATCACAACCATGCTGCGCAACATCAGGGACACGGGCTACCCGCTGCGCGTGGAGATCTGGACCCTCTTCACTATCAAGCTGTGGCACCTCGCCGTCGGGGATCTCATCATGGCCGCCAGCACCGCCGTCTCGCTGTCCCTGCAGCGCGCCATCCGCGCCGCGCCTGCCGGGAGCCTCCTGACCTGGCGGAGGGGCGGCGCCGTCATCATGAGCGTCTACGAGATCGTGTGGCTGGCCGTGTGGATCTCGGTCCCCTTTGTGTTCGACTGGGCGTGGACGGCGCAGGTGACGCTCCTGCTGCACACCATGGTGTTGCTGATGAAGATGCACTCGTACGCCTTCTACAACGGCCACCTGAGCGAGACCGAGAAGCGGCTCCGCGCCCTCGACGACCCCTCCACCGCGTCCCGCGCCCCGGCATACCTCTACCCCACACCCGACAACCCGATGGGCACCGTCGCGAACCCTAAGCGGGCCGAGGCGGAGGGCAAGGGTGCGGGCGCCGATTCCAGCGGGCCGGAAGACGACGAGGTGGCGCAGCTCCGCGAGGACCTGGCCCGCGAGCTGACCAGCCCGATGGGTAACACGACGTACCCGCGCAACCTGACGTGGGCCAACTACGTGGACTTCCTCTGCTTGCCGACGCTGTGCTACGAGATCGAGTACCCCCGCACGGCGTCGATCGACTGGACGAACCTGCTCTCCAAGATCGTTGCCATCTTCGGGTGCATCTTCCTGCTGACGGTGACGTCGGAGGAGTTCATCCTCCCGGTGCTGATGGAGGCGCAGGCGCGGCTGGACCCGTCGGCGCGCGGGGCCGGCAACCCGCTGACGGCGTCGGAGACGCTCCTCACGCTGGCCGAGACCATCTCGTGGCTGCTCTTCCCCTTCATGCTGACCTTCCTCCTCGTCTTCCTCGTCATCTTCGAGTACGTGCTCGGGGCCGCCGCCGAGGCCACCCGCTTCGCCGACCGGCACTTCTACAGCGACTGGTGGAACAGCACCGACTGGATGGAGTTCAGCCGCGAGTGGAACGTGCCCGTCTACAGCTTCCTGCGCCGCCACGTCTACTCGGCCACGCGGCCGCGCATCGGCAGGGCCAACGCAACTGCCATCACCTTCCTCATCTCCGCCGTCGGCCACGAGGTCGTCATGGCGTGCATCACCAAGAAGCTGAGGGGCTACGGCTTCGTCTGCCAGATGCTGCAGCTGCCCATCGTCGTGCTGCAGCGCACCAGGTGGGTCCGCGGCAGGAAGACGCTCAACAATGTGTGCTTCTGGTGCAGCATGATACTCGGTTTGAGTCTGGTGAGTTCTCTTCCCACATCCATTCCGTCTCGTTCCCTCTTCGTGTTCTCTTGGAGAGACACGACAACATCTCGAAACTCGTTCACATTTTGCTTGCTGCTTAGTTTTCTGCTTTCCATCTAAATCTATCTGCTGCTGAGGATGGAAATGTCTGACTAACAATTTCGTGTGTGTTTCACCTCATTGCCCAGATGTGCTCTCTATATGTCCTTGTCTGAAGACGAGAGATATGAGAATCAGCACCCCGTATATGACAGAAGGCCTCACCTAGACCACTTGTCAGGAGAACCGTGACCCTGGCAACAGGGCACTCTCTACATGCTATATGTGTATACATATACCTAAAAATCCCAGCGCTGTCGGCATCGATGAGTCGACCAGATCAGGATTCTGGAACCTTGCCTGCACTCTCATTCAGGACAGCCACGGTTCAGCTACACTTGTATATGCCTGTCGTATGCAGCATCTATCAGCGTTGGCTTCTGGTTTTTTTAGTTCGGCAGTGGGAAAGAAAGGCCTCCCCTGCCTAGGCACTTGCTGGGTCTTGTCTATATTCCCCACCTAGGCATTGAGTGTTATTTTACAGTACGATTGCCTGTATACACGCCCTATACCCTACATATAGATGGATAATTAGAAGAAATAACCAAGCATTCTCTACCCTATCCCATCTCCCCGACTTCCACCCTTATTTTCTTCAGTTTGCGTTGCATTACAGGCGCCTGGCCCGATATACTTCGCGAGAACAGATGTGATGTAAGTAAGAGAGTCCCCAGACACCCACCCTCCCGATCACGTAGAGTTCTAGATCAGGCATCGTAGCAAACAGAAAGCTAAAAGAGTCTTTCTATTCGACAATCCCGACGCCAGCTACCTGGCGGGATCTGGCTAGGACGTATAGAGTCCGGTGCTGACCCAAAAGGAAAGGTGCCTTTGGACATTGGTCCCATGACGAGCATTCCGTTGCCCCTTGCCAAAGTTGGACCGTTGCTTGATCTTGTGCCATGACTTAGACATCTTCGCCACGGAAGCCAACAACTACCTCCCTTTCTCCCTCCCCTGAAACCATCAACATCATAGAACGAAATCGTTGGATATGGTATGCACCTGCCTGGAACCCCCCCCTCTTGGAAACAAGGATTGCCCGAAACCGCGCCTCCTATAAATATGCGTTATCTGTATGTATGTATGTAGGTATGGATGGTATGTAAGTTTATAGATATATCCATGTGCACCACGCCCGGCTGCCACAAAAGTACACCACGAAAATGCAAGAACCCGGAAATTCGAGTAGGAATCAAGAGGATGACAGCATGCCACACAAACCAAAGTTGAGGGGCGGGGAATACTGCGTAGCCTACCTAGGTAGGCAACGAACGGGGGAGAGGCAACTTTCTCGGTGAGCAGTCGGCAGGCAGTCACGGTCTGACAAAGGCCACGAAGCCCTTGGATTAAAACAGCTCTTTGACAGGAACCAGCCAAGCAGGAAGGTTTCGTGGAACGAAGAGTGAAGAAAGTTAATTTTTCGACCAATGGCACGCCGATAAATTAACTGTTCCCAGAGCCTTGCTGTTGCCACCCAGGGACCCATTGGACTGCGCGGGACAGCTTGATGACGTCCGAACTGACATAGGGAGATTCTCCCTTCCATCAACTTCCTGGCCTCCCGCCTCTTTCCCGCGCTCGCAGCAAGACACCTTCTCCTGCTCACTGGCACTACCACCGCCCACCCGGCTGCCACGCCCGCCAGATCTCTGCGAAGACCCCAACCCACCTCGGTGAGGACTCTGATCCAAGATGAGGAAAAGCAATCATAATCGTTAAAACAGGACGGTTCGTTACTGTATTTCATGACGTCTGTCGTTCATGTGGGATAAAGTAAAGGACCAGGAAACGGACGGATCAAACTCCCCCAAAAAACGCCTTATAGTTGACATCACAGGTCGTGAGGGAAAACGAGTTGAAGGCCCACAGCCGACGACATTTGACACCATGAGGGAAGCAGAGATATGACCCAAGATTAAACAAACAAAATGGAAACGCCCCCCCAAAAAATACACCCGAGAAAAAAGAATTTCTTATATGATTTACCAAAAACACAGGCTGATCCTCAGCGCCGAAGCAGGTACCCGGAGGGACCTGGATATCGACGAATTGCCGTGCAGCGAGAATGGAAGCCGTGGATGCGGAGTGAGTCGAAGCGGCTAAGTAACGACTCTAGGATATATACAACCAGCCCTCGGTCGGCAATTGCTCAGGAGGTGGCCCAGACGGGGTCTGGGGGATGCACCGCCGGCGCGTACTGGAAGTTGCTGAACGCAACGTCCGCCTCGGTGTATGTCTTGGTCTGCTTCACCTTGGGGAAGTATTGCGAGTGCGAGGGGTAGTAGTCCCGAGACGAAGAAGACGATTCCCGCTTTGGTTCGACAACCTTCGAGCTATACTCGCTATATCTTCTTGCGGGGGGCTGCTCGTCATACTCATACGCGGGATCCATCTTCGTCGTCTTGTGACCCTCAACCCGATATCGGTACGAAACCGGTTCCACGGGCTCTGGGGACTGAGTCCGCCTGCTCCGGCGAGTGAGTGGCTCGTCATCAGAGTCGCGGTCATAGTACGCCACGGGACGTCGGGTTCTGTCGCCATCTTCACCCGCCGCCCACGTGTTCGTCCTGCCAAAGCTCGGAGGCCCTGGCGATGGCCGGGCATACATCTCTTTCGGAAGAGTGTTCACCCGGTTCGGGCGAGGCGGGGACTCCGGGACCACCGGAGGCGTGGAATGCGATTTCTGGAGCGACGGGATTGCCCGCGCCCTCGGCGAACCTGAGTCTATGATGTCGATGCCCTCCCTGGAAGATTTCTTCCGCGAGGCGTAGACCTTCTCCTTGGAGCGGATGGGCATGGGCACGTCATTCGAGGCGCGACGGCCAGATGCCCTTGCGGAGGACCGCCGAACATCGTCGTCAATAAACTCGACCGGCGGCGGTGGTGGAGTCGGCACAGAGATTGGTGGGTTGAAATACGTCGCCGGCTCTGCGAAGGTTTGGGCCCTAGGCAGCGATGGCTTTGACCTCGACCTTTCAATGTAGCTGGCCGCTGCTTCGAGGTACGTCTCGGTTTTCAGCTTCCTCGGCGCGTGAGGCGAAGCTTGTCGCTCCTTTTCGCGCAGCTCTCTTTCGTCCCGCTCTCTTTCACGTACTCTTTCGCGTTCTCTTTCGCGCTCTCGGTCTCGACGAGAAGACGACTTTTCCCTCGGCTCGTCGTGCTTCTTGCTGCTCGACGACTTCTTCTTCTCCACCTTGAAGGCAAACACCTCATCCTCCTCGTAGGGTTCGACATACGGAGACTTCTGACGGCGCTTATCTTCCTGATCCCGCTTCCGCTCCTTGTCTCGGTCCTTCTCTTGCCGTTTCTTCTCCGCCCTGCGGAGATCACGGGCTTCCTTCTCACGACGCTCTCGGTCTCTGTCTCTGTCCTCATCCCTCTCCTTTCGCCTCCGTTCTTCCCGTCTTTCATCATCCCGCCTCGAGGGTTCTTCGTAGCTTGCCGCACGGCGAGCACGACGTTCTTCCTCGTAGATTGCCTGAGTTCGAGGGCTCATGTCATCATCCCACGAGCGAGCGGAATGGTACTGGGGGTACACTTTTGCGCTGGCTGGTGGGATGTCGTGGGGCGACGAAGACTTGAACCTTGGCTCGGCCGTTCTAATCTCGTAGGTGAAATGCTGTTTCGTGGGTGTCCGGGCAGCGGGAGAATTGGCCATGTTCTTAGACATCATGGCGGCCTGTTTGCGGAGCTCGGCGAGCTTGACCTGCTCTTCGTACTTTATCCTTTCGGCATCGTCGATGAGGAGCTCATAGGCTTGCTGCACCTTCTGAAACTCGTCTTGCTTCTGGGCCTTCAATGTCGGATCCTGGACCTTGTCGGGATGGCATTTGAGAACCAGCTTCTTGTATGTGGAGCGAATCTCTGTCTTGTCTGCCGTCTTCTCGAGGCCGAGAATCCTCCACGGGTCTGGCGGGAGTTTATTCATCATCTTTGACGAGTCTAAAAATGGCCGGGCACCGGGCAAGACCGAGGTTGAAGGGGGAAAATAGGAGGGAGTGTCGAGTTGCTGGGCAACGAGTCGGTTGTTCAAGGCCAGCAAGGGTGCTGTCCAGGGGAGAGACTACTGCATGCGAGGCATAGAATTAACCCAGATCAAGAATCTTGGGCTACTTGTAGGGATTCGCAAAGCAGTCGGTCGGGGAAGAGCGACAGGCGGTGGTGATCAGAGGCAAGGGGCTGCTGAGCTTGTTGTGGTGAGCGGTCGGCTTGGTGTTTGGCGAAGAGAAGGGCAGAGCTGGCCGTTTTTGGTTCCCGAGGCTGGGTATGTCGTGACTGTGTGGGGGACGCTGAGGGAGGGAGAGCGGGCAAAGACGTGATGCGCGTGGCCCGGGATTATGGCCTTGGGGTCGGCTTGTTTTGTTATTGAATGGTGATGAAGTCACCTGTCGGTCGGGCAGCGGCCAGGGCGGATGAGGGGGAGGAGGGATCCTGGAGAATGGCTGACACTTGGACCGTTTAAAGGAAGGGGTTGATGCGTGGTGCTGGGGCTGGCATCTTGATTCGGCCTGGCGCAGAGATGCGAAGAGCCGATGGTGGTCCGTCTTGGTCTCAATGACCAGTCAGCCAGTATTGTACACAGTATCACTACTAGTGGCTTCTCAGCACCTTAGCCTGTGGGGTACGGTGCGTTTCTGGTGCTTGCTGCGCTTTAACCAGGGTTGTAATTGCTGAGGTACCTCGCCCTCCTTCGATGTTGCCCGCCCGGCTTACGGCAAAGGAACCTGCTCAAGTAGTGTTACGTGCGAAAACCCTTCCTGTAGATGCCATGGAAGGTGGTCTCTCTTCTTCTTTCCGTTTCTGGCGCCCGAGTATGGGCTGAGGAAGCACGAGGCAGGCTGAATAGGTAACCTAGAGAATCGGGCAAAACCTGCGCCTTCCTCAGGAACCTCGAGGGATTCCAGAATAGAACAGTTAGCCCCGTCTTGGCTCAGGTCTCTGCCTGTGGCTTGTTCTTGTCACTTTCTCGTGCCCCCTTTCAAGTCGTTTACTCCGTATTCCTCGTTGCAAGACAAGAGACGCGTACGCGGACTCGTAGAAGCGTCGGGATATGCGTAGAAGCCGACTTGCGAGCTATTCACTGCTGCGTACATTCATTACCAACCAGGGACTACTAACATGCACCTAGTGTAAGTCGAGTGAGTGAACAAGTGGCGGTCTACGAATTTCGCCCCCGTGGCTGGTGTCGGAGTGGCGGGGAGTTGCCGAGGTCAGGGGGGCGAAATGATGCCATCAGCAAGAAAAACGTTTACGTGAGATACGGAGCAGCTATTTACGGATTACATCCACATCAGTGCCCCTAGGCCGTAATATCGAAAGGGGGGGCAGGTGGGTATGAGTCCCGGTTTGAGTCGTCTTGTTTGGCTCTGTTTCGTTTGCGTGCAATGGGGGTAATGGTAATGGCGGTGTGTTGGCAAGTCGGCGATAACAACTCAAGGTCGAAACACCTAGGATGATCAGTCAAATGATCGTCAACCTCAGTAATTAGACAATGCCACGGTTGACGACGCAGAATTTGAGCCAAAACAAAACAACCAGAGGGTTCCTCCAGAGGTGAGGATTGCGAGGGATCACCCGCGTCAAGAGCGGCCATTTTCCGGGCCACAACGCACTGCACCTTAGTGATGGATCCGAGATGGCCTGCCAAGCAGGCCGACGAGGTCAGAATACTAGGTATGCAGCTCACTCAATCCAATGATCTAGCACAATGGCGGAGCAACGATCCCCTCAGCCCCGCCTTCCCCCTTCCTGCGGAGGAGAAAGGGACCCCAATCCTGCGAATGAGGCACCAACCTTGTTGCCCAGCACATTGAGCATTACCTCCAACTGACTTGGTCCACGAGGGGAAGCACGGAATTGAACCCAGTGCCCCGTCATCAAAGTCCAACAATTCCAACAATCGCAAGTCTCGTGAAGAGGGAGTACTATATTAAAGACACCATAGCTGCATGCATGCGTCACCCAGCTGCCATTCGTTTTTTGCCAGCCCTGGCGCAGGCCGCAAGGGAGTGTCGGCCGCTGCCAGTATGGCAGCCAAGGAACGGATCAGACAACTTGGCTTCGTTTGTGTGGATGGCATGGGATCCTCATGACTGGCTCCCTCCCCCATATTCCTAGCATGGGCAATATTAGTTCCTCAGCTATGCTGGCAATACCGAAGTAGGTCTGGCCTATATCGTAGACGCGCACTACTGTGGCAGGTACTTCGTGCTTCAGAACATATCCTCGCGCCGTTATCGATTGCACTGCATGGCGCCCCATCATTTGGATGGGGCGTTGCCACTGCAACCACTGTCACAACGATATTGAGCGGAGGAGCGAGCACACGACGCAGGGGACTATCTGCGACCAGATATCGAGGGCTGGAGAAGCAGGTACAGGCACCGGAAACCATACCTACTTTGATGCCTGGGAGGTCGGCAATCTAGTGCCAATGACTGGATGCACTTGAGCTTGGATTAATTAACGAGCCCCCCAACCAGCAACATCCCTAGAGAGCCCGCATCCCACGGGGTCGGGCAAGAGAGGGCCATCGGGCAACGACTCGTGGCGCCGAAGTCTGGTCTTGTGTCTTGTGCGGAATTTATGCGAATGGAGTGCAGCTGGAGGAGGGTCGTCGTCCAATCCAGCGGGGGGACGAAGCCGCAGGTCCGGCCAGGGGTCCTTGAGTGGATTGAGCGGGTTGAGTGGAGGGGGTGGGTTGTCTCAGACGAATCACAACGGAAGGCGGCCAGTGGGAATGCAGGGCCACGCTCCATCCACCGAGTGGTGAGGGAGGCAGCACAAGCCATTCCTTGCCTGATCGCACTCGCATCTCTTCGCTGGTTTGCTGGCTGCCGGCAGTCCACTGCACGAGGTTTCCAAGCGGTCTGCACCTTCTTCCAACGTAAGCCAGTTGCATGCCAGCCCACCCGAGCAAGACTCCGCAAATCATCCATCTGAGCCATACATTGGATCGCCATCAGCTGCTAGTGCAGCACCCTCCGACAGTTCCTCTCATTCGTCTGGTGTCAGTGGTCACCCTTTTAACGAATACGGCCTGTGATCTAGCTGTCTCTCGAGCCATCCTTCGTCGTCATTTACTGCAGGACAAAGGGCAGATTCCATGTTTTGGAAAGTGTAAGTTTGAAGGTAAACTGCTGGTGAGGAAGGAACCACCTTCCCGGCTTGAGTGACCCGGGCAGTTAGCTCAGGTCCAACTCTGGGCTATCTTGACCAAGATCAACCCCGCCAATACCAACCACAGACGATGGGCCTACCTCTACTCCGTGCCATGTACAGGCATCATTCACATCGATATCGGACGCACAGCAAGTCCCAACCCCGCAAACCGGCCTCACTCGGGGCGAGTCGACTCGTGGGGGGCATGCTCCATTTACCCCGCCATCGATGAGATCGTAACATCCAGAACATGGACCAGACACGGACAGTGAGCGAGCAAGCGGTGGTCGAGAAGTTCCACACCATGGATGGGGTTTCTTGTGGCCTTACGCGCCTCAGCGCTTGTTCAACCATGACCGTTGATCTTTGGGAAGCGGTGTGGCATGATCTCATCTGTCCGCCGACTATCACCTATCACAGTAACAGAGTGGTGAGACTCTTCAACTATAGTTCTACAACGGGTAATCCGTATTCCATCCAGGACATACCAAGTACAGATACTTTGGCCCCCCACAGGGACGTAGGGGCTTATCGACACACCACACAGTACTAGAACTAGTAGTTACATGTTGAAATTCTGCCCCTGAGACACATCTATCCCGTCCATGACACACGCCTGGCTGACCCCTCATTGGCAGGTCTGCAAGTGTGGTACGAACTAAATGGCGCAACAACATGTGCAGCTCTCCAATCCAGCCTGCATGTGAGCTATTGGCCTGTCTATTGGCCAGGACTGAGTCTAGAAGCGCTAACCATCGTCCACCTAGACCAGCACGATCCTCCCCGGCCAGGGTGTCCCCTGACAAACGCTGCGGCTCTTGGCTTTCTCTTCCCCAGATCCCCTCAGTCCCGAGGCCGATCAATCAATTGCCACGGAGCGGCTTGTGAAAGGAACAGCTAACTGTGGTCCCGTCGTCCCCGGTAGCCACTTTCCTGCAATGCCTTCAGCACTTTCCGAGTCAGCTGACTCTCGAGCTGGCAGACGCTAAACTGGTAAAGCAGGTCACTCGTCAACTGGCGCTGGAGCGGCATGGGTAGTCTAAGGGCGGCCCGCTGCCACTCCATCTGTGGTAGCGTAGATTCACGCTTAGGAGGTAGTGTCCCGGGCCCTTGTGGGGGCCCTCCTTACCTGGGGTTTCCTTGAATGGGGGGAATTGTATGGGGGAGATGCAGTGTAAGCTTCCATCTGACCAGCGATCTCGGGTAAATCCCACCACTTGGTCCCCTATCCTCCACCGTTTTCTATTGAGGAGGAGGAGCATCGCTCCCCGCGCCTCCCGCGCCCATCGAACACACTGGGGAAGCAAGGCAAACGACTATGCATCAGCAAGGGTTGTTTATTTCGCATTGCTGCGCTGGTCTTGGCGGTAGCAGCGACTGTAATCGTGACAGGTATCCATCCAAACGACGAAGTCTTCCACATCCGCCACATCTCTGGCCTCTCTCAGTGTGGATATATGTCGCCAAGTCAGAGAGGGGATAGGCCCCTTTTTTATAGGACCGGCCCGGTCGAAGGACTCGAGGCCCGCTTCATGTAGAGTGCGCGAATGAATGACCCCCATCGTAAACAGTCGACAATCGCCTCTCACGTCGTAAACAATCGCCGCTTACCACACGAGAGGCAAAAGCCCCGAGAGAGAGGCAAAAGGGCCCAAGGGTGACGCATTTGGCCACATGTCCCAGAACGTCCTCCTCGCTGCCTGGCGCGAGATGCCCATCTCTGACAAAAGGTGCAAATCCCGAGAGACAAGTGTCTCACTCGGCAGTTGGACGGACGCTACGCTCAGGCGTAGTCGGCACTCACGCGCGCAACGTTGAGGCAATCGTGAGGAACGGGACGGCGGCGGCAAGTCGCTCTTCACCAAGTGTCCCCTGAACATGCCGACAAGCGTGCGTCCCGATAGGGCAGATGTCTCTGCCGCGAGGCACTGGCCTGGCCTACTGCCACGACAGTTGACACTGGCGCTGCCGAACCCCCGTGATAGGTCAGCCCGGTCCTCACATGAGGGGGACGCCATCGTCTCCACAGGCCTGATATCGAGGGCCACAGAAGCACCATCTTCAACGGGGAAGCGCGAGGGGCAGGCCAGCGGGATGCAGGGGGAGGCGAGGCTGGGCAGGCAAGGTGGGCCATCGGGCCATCTGATATACGGCCAGTGGATCCGGCTAGATATCAGGGTAGACAGACACACTCTCTGGCATGTGAAACCTCCCCAAAAGGCAACCACGTAGCTTTACCTACCTAGCTCCCCGGCTCGGTCGAGCACGCGCACAACCAAAGACACCTGGCGGGCGATGGGACCAGGCACCCAAGTCAGGTGCCGCGCTCAATCCTGGCCCTCGCAGACAGGCAGGTCCAGATCGACGACAACGGGCTTGTGAAAGCGCCTGCCGCCCGCGTGCGGCCAGCTGGTCGCCGCGATGGCGCAGTTGACCACGCACGTCTCCCGGCGCCCCGTCCGGCCAAGCAGCGACGCCCGGTCGCACCGAGCCATGCTCTCGGGGTCCCCGGCTTGCCCGGTGAGAAGCGCCCCGCCTTCGGGGTCCGCGTCGCCGCAGTTGGCGGGCCTGCCGCTGGCGCTGCTCTCCCCGAAGCTGCCGAGGCCTCGCTGGGTGGGATCTCCTGTTTGGGAACCGGGTCCGAGTTGTGGAGCCGTCGCGGGGTGCGAGCCGTCGTTGTCCAGCGGCGCCCTCCCGCCTCTTCCCGTGAGGTCGACCAGGCTGATCTTCCCGCCATCGGGGCAGGGGTCCACCCATGGCTCCGCCCCAACCTCGGTATATGGCTCCCGCCCCTCGCCCCGGATGTCCCACCGCACCCGCTCGGCTCCCCGCGCCTCGTGGACATGACCGCACACGTGGAGGCGTGGCCGGATGTGCCAGAGGGCACGGCGCAGATCTTCGCATCCAAGATTCAGATCATGGGTGGTGGACCGGTCACAGTGCAGGTGTGGAGGGGTGTGGGTAACGAGGATGTCGGTGGCTAGAGGGATGGAAGACCATAGCTCTGCGGCCGTAGGTCCGGGAAGGGGCTGTGACTGGATGCCAACTGCGGGGTGCTCGGTATCAGGGGCCAGGGGATGAGGTCCGGGGGACGAAGATCCAGAAGCTAGGTCTGATCGGGCATAATCGAAGGCCCAGCGACCAACCCGGGGGCTGTACGGGGAGCCAAATACCGTAAAGGTTGTCCGTGGTCCGTCCGGTTTTGTCAGGCGAATGGTCGCCTGGCTGTGGCAAAGGTAGGTTACCGTCGGACTAGAGGTGAGAAGAGAGATGCACTCCTCAGGGTCCTGGATGCTCTGGCTGTGAAGCGATGACCCCCGCCTGGCGTAGAAGTCACGGTCAAGGGTAATATCATGATTACCTGGTTGGTATCAGCTGCAGCCCATCCGCGGAACGTTGTTGGGGGGCCCTGGTGATACCTGCAATGACAATCTTGGCCTCAAAGTCGGTATTCTCAAGCCAGTACACGGCTTTGGCCAGCTGTTCAGCGGATGCCGGATGATCAGCCAGGGAAATACTGACCCGTTTGCTTGACTGCGCCCAGGGAAAAACAAGTCGAGGCTGCGGCCTGCGGCTGGGAATATCTGGCGGGTTTCGTACCTCTGAATAGCTGCCCTGGTTCGTCAAGTCACCTGCATGGATGAGGACATCACCCTTTGGCAACTTGACGGGACGGTTATGTGTGTCCGCTATGCAAACGAACCTGGTACGCCGGGACCGCATCGATCTCGCCGTGGATGGCGACAGGGACTCCATGTGTAACTGTTCGTTGCTACGCGAAAATTATTTATTATTATGGAGGTCCCGATCATGCGGTTCGGCTTGGGCGATCAGACACTCGATCGGGAAAACCCCCTGACTCTAAGCGGCGGTGGCTGGATTTACCTTGCATGGGAACTTGTTTCGTTTCTGCTCCACCTTTCCCGCACGCCGTCCACTCTGGTGTGGTTGTGCTGTGCTCAGACAGGATGGATATTGGGTCCCCGCGGATGGTAGATGTTCCCCGCCGACGGGAGATGCAGTCGGAGGGGAACTGATTGCCCGGTCGTGGGGAAGACGAGTTTGACCATGATTAGAGACACAATCAAACCGAACCTCCAGATGCTACAAAACTTGGACCTTCAAGGAATATTGTCGGACAGAATATAGGACGGGAGCAGCCATCGATTGGAGGGCAGACAGTGCGAACAAGCTTCCGAATTCCGTATAAGATTGGTTTGGCGGAAATCCGTATGGAAGAATGGTATCCACACGGAGCTCTAACAATCGAGGGATTGGTCAATGGATACGTGCAGCCGGGGCGGCCCCTATTTATCGCAAAGGCATGTTCACGGTCAGTGCTCTGTAAGTTGCGGGCCATTCATGAGCCGCAGCGGCCTTTGCAGGCCAGGGTCCTCCGGCTCTCATACTTTCTAGCTGCATGATGGTAGGCTCTTGGAGTGGCATTAGCCGTCCATGTTGCGTGCTGAGCTGCAGCTCCATCTGATCTGACTGATCTGACAATTTGAGTTGGTTATAGCCCTGGAGTTTGTATATGTAGGCAGGGTTAGACATGCATTATCCAGTAGGACCTACAAGACCTACATAAAGTAGGATTTCCACATTGGCTCGAGGACGCTTTTCGTTGGTTTCCAAATTCCGAACAAGGGTCTTCTTTCTTTCCTTTTTTTCTCTGTTCTTCACAGTGTGTCAGGGGTGGGAGCGCAGCACAGCAGAAAAGGAACAAATGCAACGCCAACGCCAGCGCCCAGACCAACCCCGGCCGTTTGGATAGTCCCCAAATTCCATCCCCTTTGTACCCCCAATCATCCCAGAACTCCCACATTGACGCCGTCCAGCGCCGCCCAGGACAGCTCGCGACTGCGTCTGCGACGAATTTCCTCGATCCTGGCAATTACACAGCTGCAACTGGCGGATGAATGGGGCAACAGACGCACGGCATTCGCAGAAAGGGCAGTGGTTGTTGATAATTTTATCACCATCCGAAGCGGCCCCAAGGGGCAGAAAGCAAATGAGGCACTAGACCACGAAACCCGTCAATCTCCCCAGCAGCTGGTGACTGCATTCTCAAGCTCGGCGACAGGCGAACGACGAGGCGAATATCGGAGAATCCGACATCTCGGTCGTCGATTCTGCACTCCCACAGAGCACGCAGTGGTCCGCTGCAGTTGTCTCGTGCCGGCCAAACCATGGCGTCCATGTCTGCGATCCCCAATGCGACGACTCTAACTCCACCAAGCAGTTCCCATGGCACAGGATATTCATGGGACATCTCTTCTTCTGCACACATAGAGGTGAGGACAGCTCTCCTCCCAATCACCCCGACTCGCTGGTGTTTCGCTTCGCGGTCAACCACTGACCCCTCTTCTTGCCCATCTTGCAGGACCCTTCTAAAAACACGAAATTGGCTCGAAACAATGGCGGTGAAAGCGGGCAGGCTTCTCTGCCCTTGCAAAACGGTATCTCTCCTCCGATCGGATATCTCATGAACGGGGTAGATGGCACGACGAAAAAACTCAAAGGGGGAGGTGATGCTGCCCCAGATTCGAAAGCACGGAACCCCGAGGCGAGCTACCGATCGCCACCCTACACCAAAGACGCAAAGTCTCGAAGCATAAAGGAGGCCAGCAGTCTTGCAGATGGCTTAGTGGACGTCTACAGTACCAACCAGAGCGAATTAGTGGGAGATTCTCACAAGAGAACCGTCAATGAGGTCTACGGGAACGAGCCCATCGACGAGAACTCGAAATGGATCCATCGAGATAAGCTAGCAAGGATAGAGAATGAGGAGCTCCAGGCCGCGGGCATCATTCTGCCCAGAGCCCCTCGGGCGCAGTCGAAGAGCCAAAACCGGCCCAGGAGAGACCCAAGCCAGGACAAGGTCAATGGCCGTACCAAGATAGCCACTGGAAGCATAGACCAGACAACGCCGAGGTCGAGGAAGAACTCGGAGACGCCCACAGATCCCCACACCCCGCTAGCAGTCTCAGTTCCCAGCTGGGACTTCAGGCTACCCGAAGAGATTGCCGCCGAAGCGAACGGATACTTCGCCTCCAACGGCAGCGCAAAAGGGGTGTCGAGAATCCCTGTTGCAAAGCTCAGCCCTGTTCCCATCCCCCCCGAGCATCTTGAGCGAGGAACCCCGATGATTCGCAAAAAGGACGGCAGCCCTGGCGAGGAAGATAGCATCAACTATCCCAAACCAAGGTCAAGAAGCGGGAGCTTGGGCAATGCCCTTGCAAGCGGCACCAACTTGCCGGCCGCTCAGCCAGCCAAGCGATCTGCCACCGACGGATCCCCCAAGAAAGGTGCATCAACTGCCGTAGGTAGAAAGGCGTCGGGCCCGGGGAAGGCAGTGAACGGGGCTGCTGGCCGGCCAAAGACGCGGGGCGGACCAAGCAAGGATTCGACGAGTAGCGGAACAGCAACGACGCGACCATCTACGCGCTCCGGCGAGCTCAACAAGCAGCCAGAGGGTGACCCTCCATGGCTGGTCTCGGCATACCGCCCGGATCCGCGGTTACCTCCGGATCAGCAACTCTTGCCCACTGTCGCCAAGAGGTTACAGCAAGAAAAGTGGGAGCGAGAGGGCAAATTTGGGAACATTTACGACCGGGAATTCCGGCCTTTGAATGACGAGGGCTTCGTGGACCCACCCGTTCTGGCCGACGAGGACCCAGCTTCCAAGGAAGCGGAGGCGGAAGCCGAAGAGAAGCAGACGGGAGAAAACTGGCCGCTCAGGCCCGAGCCACCAAGTCCCCCCCAACCACTTGGACGGACTGGCTCGTATACCACCATCCCGAAGATCACTGATAAGCCCAGTCTCAGCCCTCTCCCCAGCCCCGGCCCCATGAACCCCATCTCGCAGCGTCCGCGATCGTCCATCAGTAGAGCTCCGGAGATGCCCGAGGACCCCTCGGAGAAGAAGGGCGGCGGCTGTGGGTGTTGTATAGTGATGTGAGGCACCGCCTTGCATTTTCCACCCTCCGAGAACAACACCCAACGAGTACATACTATTGTTCTGGTGTATAATCCCCGAGTCGCTTAAGCAGCGACATTGTATACGATCAATCAACTTGGGAGGAGTGTGCCCGATGGCCACAGACGTCTATATCTCCTTACCTCTTACAAACCCCTTGATAGCTCCGAGCTCCGAGCCACCTACCATACTCGGATCACATCAGTTCCATTTCCTTCCCAGCAGGCCGAGCAAATCTCTCACCCTTACGACGACACGATCTTTTCCTTTCGTCCTGTTTTCATTCTCGCATCGTGTATTTACTTGCCTCCCCATTTTTCAGCGATCCTGTTAACGCTCCGGCTTTGGCGAAACGAGGCTTGCCTTTTTTTCCCCCCTTTTTTCTTACTTTTTCCCTTTGTCCTACATTTCACATCAGGAACGCCACCTCCAGTTTGTTTTGCTAGCGTCCACCATATATTTTGGTTCGCGGTCAGCAGAGAATGATAACCGCGCAGAGCGACCTACCACCAGGAATCTTTGATTTTGTTTGGCGGATTCGTCCGACCACAGGAGTTCAGAGGATTGTTTTTAGTTTGACCGCCCACGTCCTCCAATCCTTGCCACGGAGAGCGTTCATCATGTCGGTTCGACGTGGGCTCGTTGCAGAACGGGCGGAGCACCCATGTCGGGTTCAGAATGGGAGGTTTCTTCTGTTTCGTCGCCTGTCGTGGGAGGTGGAGCTTCATTTCCCCCTTCATCTAACAACGGGGTACAACTGGAAACAGTTGAGTGAAGAAAGCCGATGAGAAAATGGGCCGGGGAGAGGAGAGAGCGATTTTGAGAGGATGATGTTTGGGAGAAGGGGAGTTGGCGGACTTTCAACCCCCTTTTGATGAGCCCCACTCCGTGTACCTTCTGATACCCCCCGATCCTGGCTTCCGCGGAGCGGCTTGGTGATTGTTATTTTTACAATTCGAAACGGCGGAGGTGTCGAGAGGGAGAGAGGGGGAGGAGAGAGAGATTACAGCTGAGGGAAGGGGACGATGCCGAGACCACGGTGGGCGACAGCCTTCGATAGATTCGAAATGGGAACCACTTTTCCAACGATAGACATTACCCTCTGCTTGTTTTCGGCCTTATCCCGTTATATCATACGACGTGTAGCTCATCACAAGGGCTTAACAAGTGGGAACCGAAGGAATCAGTCTGCTCCATGGGCTGCCGGATTCTCCTTCCAAGCAAGTGCTTCAAATGATCATCAACCCCGCCTTCTGCATGTTACTAACATGGAGTAGTCACAAACGGCTCGAACAACGGGGATTGTTTTCCGCTCACTGTTTCACAGGCCTGGGGGTCGGGGGAAGAATAGCTGGCCATGTTGTCTACAGTAGGGGGTCATCAGTCCACTCCATCGTCAGCTGACTCAGGCAGCTTGACCATGGTTGAGAAGCTTACTAGACGACTGCGTCATTGCTCGGTCGCGAGAAAAACTGGGTATATTGTTTGTCAACACTGCTTATGGCACGGCCAAGGGGTATGACCATGAAGGCGGAACAGAAGATGCGCAGCCAGTCCATACAGTCCCGTCTTTCACTGAGGAATATGCGACTGATCAACTTGAATCCGAAGCAGCCCGAGCATCGACGAAGAAGTAAAGACGTCAGGCTCCCCTCCGTCAGTCTTCCCTAGTGTAAACAGGTAAATAAACCGACGGGCCAGCCGGCTATCACCCCTCCACATCAACCCATTCCCATCCCGGACGGACCTTCCCATCCCAACCAGATCCTCCCCAGCACACCACCAGGGAATCGCCGGGCCCGTCTCGAACCCTCCCGCGGCCCAATCTCGCCATCCTACTCCCCCACACGGACGGGCCCAGCCCCCAAAAAAAACCAAAAAAGGGAGCCGACCGACCCTAGAAAAACGGAGCGATGCTCCAGCGCTTCCCATAGGGCAGGCGGTACGGAGATGTTGCGTTACAAGGGAAGGGGGCGGGGCGGGGAGGACGGCCGTCGTTTTGGGTTTTGCGCTTGCCTCCTAGCTTGGGAGTTAGGCGGTTCTCCACATGGTGTGGTACGTATACGTTTACGCATTCGCATTCACACGCACACGCGCACGCGCACACACATACAATCACTTGACTTCTGTTCTGCACATACAGACACTCAGGGAACAGGAAGAAGGAGTGGGTTGTCCGGGAAAAAGGGTTTTTTTTTTTTTTTTTTTTTGGGGGGGGGGGGGGGGGGGGGGGGTTGGGGGGGGGGGGGGGGGGGGGTGGTTGGGGGGGGGGGGGTGGGGGGGGGGGGGGGGGGGGGGGGGGGGGGGGGGCGGGGCTGGGGGGGGGGGGGGGGGGGGGTTCTTCTGCGAGGGGCA